GTGTGGATTCTCCAGCTCTTGAGGTTTCCAAATCCAGGCTGGATGCTGTGACACTGGCAGACAGGTGCCAGCTCAGGCCAAGGTCCCCCTGTCTCAATGGAATACCAACAAACAGAGCTGGAATCGGTCTGGCTCACCGGGATGTTAGTATTGTTAAAAGAGGTATTGGAATTAAAAGAATGAGTTTAGTGTTTCGACTCTTTGGAATGCTGATGAGTTGCTGCCGGCGTTAATTTCACGAGATGAATTGGAGTGGAACATTAAAGAGGATAAAAGATTTTGCTGTTTACTCTGCCCACGCCCCGCTTCATGAAGATGAATTTTGCAAATGGATTCCTCTCCTCAGCTGAGTTTGCAGCTCAAAGCAGAAGTGGGAAGGGAATAAAAATTCCAAACTAGGAAGAGCTAGGTCTCATTGCTGCTTGGAGTCTGGGGGGCAAGGATTAGTAGGCAGTGTGACACTGCACCCCGTATTCTTCAGAGTGATATTAGGATGATAGGATTATGGCATAATTATGATGGATTTTGCACAAGATGGGGAATGTGAGGTGTCATAGGAAAAGGTCTGATTTGCTGAATATGATTATCCTATGTGTATGCATGTATCATTTTCGTATCTGAAGTTATGAATATTGACTATGTATCTGTATTTCACATGTAGTCACACCTGGGTGACACCCACTAGGCAAGATGCTTCCAGTCTAGAGAGCTGGTTGGGACGAGCCCATTCAGGGCAATGGGTCATCAGGGGAAACAATAGGCCCTAGGAGAAGCTTATCCCCCACCTGGCGAGCCTTCCTGAGGCCCTGTCTTCATTGGCACCTTACAGCACTGTAACTTCCTTGCTCAAGGGAGTGAAAAGACCCCCCCTGGGGTGCTGCAGGTTTTAGCGCTGTAACGTGCCAGTGTAGACAGCGCCCCAGTGCTGGGAGCTACGCCCCTCATGGGGGTGGTTAAAGAGCTCTGTCTGGTTATCTTGTCAAAAGGAAGATCAAGAGGTGATCACAGCCCATAGGAACCTTCTTGGAGAGACAATACCAGCTGCGAAAGGGCTCTGTAATCTACCAGAGAAAGTCAGAGCAAGAACCAAGGGCTGGAAGCTAAAGCCAGAAAAATTCGAAAAAGAAACACTGCACCAATTTTCACGTGTGGGTGAATAACCGCTGGAACAGCCTCCCAAAGGACGTGTGGATTCTCCAGCTCTTGAGGTTTCCAAATCCAGGCTGGATGCTGTGATGCAGGGTGAGAAGTTGCTAATTCATATCCTATCTTTCTAGTATCTTAGGCTTAGTTTTCAGTTTTGTTTATTTGCTAGGTGTGACGTTATTGACTTGAACTGGGACTGTATAGAACATTGTTGCAACCAAGGTCCTGTAGTGGCACCAAATCTTGTATAAAGGGGGTCAAATAAGGTGTTTAAGATGAGGTTATGGTTTGCTGGTTAGGATTATGCTGTCTGTTTGCATGTATTATTTTTGTATTTAAAGATATAAGTATTGGCTTTATACTGTCTGTATTTCAAACTTATGCTGTGCTTCTGGGGGACACCCCAGACAAGTTGGGGTCAGCTCTGCCTAGCCTGCTTGATGGCCCATTAAGGACCGTCAGCTACACTACTGACCCATTGAGAGAAGGCAGACACGCCTGGGGACTCAGCCAGGTGTGCAGGGACCTGCCTATGGACAGAACTCTGAGGGTTTTCCAGGCCATGGGATGGGCAGCTTGTCTTTGGGACACAGAAAGAGAGACCACATGGCAAGAGAGTATAAAGAGCTGCTGCAGGTCCTCCATCTGGTCTTCAGTCCTGCTTCTGACCTCTGGAGGGACTTTGCTACACTGAAGCTTTGAACCAAGGACTGAAGGACCCATCCCAGCTGGGGACGTTCTCCAGAGACTTGATTTGAACCTGCTGTTTATTCCATCACTGCTGCAAGCCTGAACCAAGAACTTGGCCATTAGTGGATGTCATTGATTCCATTTCACCAATTCTAGCTCTCATCTATATCCTTTTCCTTTTATGAATAAACCTTTAGATTTTAGATTCTAAAGGGTTGGCAACAGCGTGATTTATGGGTAAGATCTGATTTGTATATTGACCTGGGTCTGGGGCTTGGTCCTTTGGGGTTGGGAGAACCTCTTTTCTTTTACTGGGGTGTTGGTTTTCATAACCATTTGTCCCCATAACGAGTGGCCCTGGTGGTGATACTGGGAAACTGTGGTGTCTAAGGGAATTGCTTGTGTGACTTGTGGTTAGCCAGTGGGGTGAAACCAAAGTCTTCTTTGTCTGGCTGGTTTGGTTTGCCTTAGAGGTGGAAAAACCCCAGCCTTGGGCTATGACTGCCCTGCTTTAAGCAATTTGTCCTGAATTGGCACTCTCAGTTGGGTCCCTCCAGAACCAGCATCGTTACACTACGTGATCTGCTTTGATCTGTTTGCTATCACTTATAATCACTTAAAATCTATCCTTTTGTAGTTAATAAACTGGTTTATGTTTTAATTTAAACCAGTGTGACTTTGACTGAAGTGTCTGGAGAAAATCTCAGCTTGGTTTAACACAGGTTTATTGTGCATATTCCTCTCCACATCGAGGGAGGGAGGAAGACATATTAATGAGCTTACACGGTACAAATCCCTGTGTAGTGCACAATGGTGTAATTTGGGGTTTATACTCCAGAATATATATTTGGGGGTGCATACCAGGGGAGGTGGGAAACTGGCTGGTGTCTGCTGTTGGCACTCAGGTAGCCCAGTCTGGGTGAATGGCACCACCTGCTGTCGTGTTGGGTGATAACAGGCCCTGGGTGAGGCTGGCTGTGTCCCCAGCCCAGCTGTGTGTCTTAGAGAGGCACAACAATTCCCCCGGCTCCCAGACTGCACCTCGGAGGTAACAACCCCATCACAGGCATAAGCAAAAGATGCCCACCGCTTAGCTGGGTTAGCCCTAAAGGACACATAGAGCTGGCTTATCACAGAAGCTTCCATTCCTTTTTGGAAATTTAAGTTTGTAACTCATTTGTGTGTCTGTGTCTACCTGCTTTAACCTCGTAAATAACTCTCTGGTTTCCTTTTCCTGCTAATAAATCTTTAGATAGTTTATTATAGAGTTGGCTACATGCATTGTCTGGGGTGTGAGATCTGAAATGCACTGGACCTGGGGTAAATGACCAGTCTTTTGGGACAGAGTAACCTGAATATTGCTGAGATATTTGGCATAAGGGACCATCTATCGCTAAAGGCTAGTCTACATTGGCAATGCTAAAGTGCTGCTGTGGCAGCCCTTTAACGTGGCTTGTGTAGTCATGGCAGAGGGCCTGGAGAGAGCTCTCCCAGTGCTCTAAAACCCATCTCCGCGAGAGGCAGCTCCCAGCGCTGAGTGCTGGGCCACTGTCCACACTGGTACTTTACAGCCCTGAAACTTGCTGCACTCAGGGGGGGGGGGTGTTTTTTCACTCTCCTGAGCGAAAAAGTTGCAGAGTTGTAAATTGCCAGTGTAGACAAGCCCTAAGGAGGCTCACCTGCGTACCCAGACGGATTAGCATACCGACGGGACTGTTGGGGACTCCATGTTACGGCTATTATGGTGTCTGAGCAGTTTACACTGGATAATTGATTGGTGACATAACAGCCAGTCTGGGATTTGTGCCCTGGTTCCTGACAGCCTGCCCTGAGGTTGGGATTCATGCTTTTGAGTCCTTGCGGGACAGCTGGACACTGAGGCCTTTCTGGAAGATGCTTTAGCCGAACGCATCAAGAGAAGGTTTCACAGTTCCACAGGCTCGGCGCTATGCCCTAGCTTCAGAACAGACTCTTGGAGGAACCCCCACAGGGTGAGCCACACAGTCTCATCCCCCAGAGACTAAGCTTCTGGGGCTTCAGCCCTCCTGCTTCAAACCGTGAGCTCTGCCCAGCAACTCCAGCTGAGACAGACCTCAGCAGAGGCTTGTCTGCGTTTCAGGGAAGAATGCACCCTAGCAGATATTTGCAGTGACACACAAGCAGCATTTTCAAAACTGTCAGGTTTATTAATCAGCGGGAACGTAGCATTGGAAGTCCTTAGGTCAGCACAGAGACATGCAAAGTAAAGCATGGTCCATTCTGATCAGCCCAGAACAGTTCACCAGCCATAGAATCATAGAAGATCAGGGTTGGAAGGGACCTCAGGAGGTCATCTAGTCCAACCCCCTGCTCAAAGCAGGACCTATTCTCAATTTCTACCCCAGATCCCTAAATGGCCCCCTCAAGGATTGAACTCACAATGCTGGGTTTAGCAGGCTAATGCTCAAACCACTGAGCTATCCCTCCCCCATTTTCAGGCTCCGTGTCTCTCTGTGACTTCCTTCCTTAGTCAGTTCCCAGGTGAGATATCTAGAGTCCTTAAAAGGCAGGCCTGCTTATAGTTCAGTTCACATCCCCAGCTGTTTGTAGATGTTGATGGTTCAATCACTGGGGGGGTCTCTTTGTCTTGCTGGATCCTGTGGAGGTCTGGGTCAGTTTCAACCCAGTCATTCCACCCGGGCAGCTGGGTAACACACACTCATCTCCTGTCCCTGTGCTGTTCCAGCAGGAGTGGAACCCCCATGGGTAGCAATTCAACACACAGAGGGAAACTGAGGCATGCCTTGGATTAATGAAAATATTAGAGAAAATTCCCACTTCATCATATGGGGTAACTGGGTAACAGAGTCTGGCCTGGGTCCTGCAGGAGGTCAGACAAGATGATCTAATGATCCCTTTTGGCCTTAAAAAATCTATGACCCTGCCCTCCAGCCTGCTTATCTCCCCAATCCCAGGCTGGCTTGCACCCCCGGCCTCTCTTCCAGGCTGGTTCAGCTTGGCCCAGCCCTTCGGGGAGGCAAAGTCCAGCTGTGGGTCTAGCTCATTCCAGCCTCATTATTCTGATCGTCACACCGTCTCCTAGCAACACATGGGAGAATGTGGCTATGTCAGCCCAAAGCGAGACCTGACGACGTCACAATGGTGTCAGGGAGCCGCGTCTGGTGATGGGGTCCCTGGCCTGGCTGCCCTTGGGGCTCCTGCCCCTGCTGCTCCTGGCGACGCAGGGATACAGCTCGACGTGTGAGCAGGATGTGGGGGCAAGGGCACTGGAACAATTTGTATAGTTCGGGTGCTGAGAGCCATTGAACCAAATTGTAAATCCTGCCTAGAATGGAAACCACTTCAACTCAGGGGGTGCTGGAGCACCCCCCGCACCCTCAGTGCCAGCACCTATGTGTGGGGGGCTCCCACGGAGACGGCAGGGGCTCATGCCTCCCACTCATGGCATGAGCACAGCCCCACGGTGGGGCCTGTCCACGCATCGGTGCCCAGACACACTGCCTGGGAGAGCAGCTCCCTGCAGGAAAGGAGGCGGTGAGGCCAAGAACTTCCTTGGCAGGGGAAAGTGGAGCAGGGCAGAGCAGGAGGTGTTGTGGGGCTGAGGCCTTTTCCCACAGGGAGATGGAGGATGCAGCAGGCTGGAGACATCTTCAGAGGGTTGAGGCTGGCCCTGTGAAATATCCCCCAGCCCCAGGAGTGAGAGACATGGGGCAACCCGGAGATTGTTTCCAACTAGCCACAAGGGGTCGCCGGTGCCTCGCACTAATTCATCTGAGCATCCTTAACTCCGGCAAGGCCGATGCCAGAGGCGGGCAGCCCAGGGCAGGGGTCGCAGGGGGCTGTGGGTTGGATTGAGGGGAGTTGGCAGAGCTGGGGGGGGTGGAGCCCAGGGCAGGGGTCGCAGGGGGCTGTGGGTTGGATTGAGGGGTGTTGGCAGAGCTGGGGGGGGGGGAATGGAGCCCAGGGCAGAGGTCGCAGGGGGCTGTGGGTTGGATTGAGGGGAGTTGGCAGAGCTGGGGGGGGGGTGGAGCCCAGGGCAGGGGTCGCAGGGGGCTGTGGGTTGGATTGAGGGGTGTTGGCAGAGCTGGGGGGGGGGGTGGGGCCCTGGGAATGGAGGGGGCTGTGGGTTGGATTGAGGGGGTGAGAGGGGGGGGGTGGGCCCAGGGAGGGGTCGAGGGGGTGTGGGTTGGATTGAGGGGTGTTGGAGAGCTGGGGGGCGGGGGTGGAGTCCAGCCGGGAATGGAGGGGGCGTGGGTTGGATTGAGGGGAGTTCGAGAGCTGGGGCGGGGGTGGAGCAGGGCAGGGGTCGCAGGGGGCTGTGGGTTGGACTGAGGGGAGTTGGAGAGCTGGGGGGGTGGAGCAGGGAGGGGTTGAGGGGGTGTGGGTTGGATTGAGGGGTGTTGGGGGGTCGGGGGGGGTGGGCCCAGGGCAGGGGTTGAGGGGGCTGTGGGTTGGATTGAGGGGTGTTGGCAGAGCTGGGGGGGGGAGCCCAGGGAGGGGTGAGGGGTGTGGGTTGGATTGAGGGGTGTTGGAGAGCTGGGGGGGGGGTGGGTCAGCCCTGGGAATGGAGGGGCTGTGGGTTGGATTGAGGGAGTTCGCAGAGTGGGGGGGGGTGGGCAGGGAGGGGTGCAGGGGGCTGTGGGGTTGGACTGAGGGGAGTTGGCAGAGTGGGGGGGTGGGCAGGGAGAGGTTGCAGGGGGTGTGGGTTGGATTGAGGGGTGTTGGGGAGGTCGGGGGGGTGGAGCCCAGGGCAGGGGTTGCAGGGGGCTGTGGGTTGGATTGAGGGGTGTTGGCAGAGCTGGGGGGGGGTGGAGCCCAGGGCAGGGGTCGCAGGGGGCTGTGGGTTGGATTGAGGGGTGTTGGCAGAGCTGGGGGGGCGGGGGTGGAGTCCAGCCCTGGGAATGGAGGGGGCTGTGGGTTGGATTGAGGGAGTTCGCAGAGCTGGGGCGGGGGTGGAGCCCAGGGCAGGGGTCGCAGGGGGCTGTGGGTTGGACTGAGGGGAGTTGGCAGAGCTGGGGGGTGGAGCCAGGGCAGAGGTTGCAGGGGGCTGTGGGTTGGATTGAGGGGTGTTGGCGGAGGTCGGGGGGTGGAGCCCAGGGAGGGGTTGCAGGGGGCGTGGGTTGGATTGAGGGGTGTTGGAGAGGGGGGGGTGGGCCAGGGCAGGGGTTGCAGGGGGCGTGGGTTGGATTGAGGGGAGTTGGCAGAGCTGGGGGTGGAATGGAGCCAGGGAGAGTCAGGGGGCTGTGGGTTGGATTGAGGGGAGTTGGCAGAGCTGGGGGGGGAGAATGGAGCCCAGGGCAGGGGTCGCAGGGGGCTGTGGGTTGGATTGAGGGGTGTTGGCAGAGCTGGGGGGGCGGGGGTGGAGTCCAGCCCTGGGAATGGAGGGGGCTGTGGGTTGGATTGAGGGGAGTTCGCAGAGCTGGGGCGGGGGTGGAGCCCAGGGCAGGGGTCGCAGGGGGCTGTGGGTTGGACTGAGGGGAGTTGGCAGAGCTGGGGGGTGGAGCCAGGGCAGGGGTTGCAGGGGGTGTGGGTTGGATTGAGGGGTGTTGGCGGAGGTCGGGGGGTGGAGCCCAGGGCAGGGGTTGCAGGGGGCTGTGGGTTGGATTGAGGGGTGTTGGCAGAGCTGGGGGGGGTGGAGCCCAGGGCAGGGGTTGCAGGGGGCTGTGGGTTGGATTGAGGGGAGTTGGCAGAGCTGGGGGGGGAATGGAGCCCAGGGCAGAGGTCGCAGGGGGCTGTGGGTTGGATTGAGGGGAGTTGGCAGAGCTGGGGGGAGAATGGAGCCCAGGGCAGGGGTCGCAGGGGGCTGTGGGTTGGATTGAGGGGAGTTGGCAGAGCTGGGGAGGCGGGGGTGGAGTCCAGCCCTGGGAATGCAGGGGGCTGTGGGTTGGCAGAACTCGGGGCAGGGGGACACCTCTGTCCCCTGGGTTCTTTGTTGACTCCATCTCTGCTGTCAGGGGAGGGGACATGGCTCTGGGGAACTGCCTGGGGTCTCTGTGTTTCCTTCCTGCCCTCGATGGGTCCCTTCAGTCTCACACAGCCCAGCCATTGCTTTCCACGCACAGACGGGATCTTCTCACCCTGTCTTTGATCCTCTCCGCAGCCTGTGGGCGCCGCCCCCTGGCGTCTGGCTACGGCGGGATGCGGATCGTGGGTGGCGTAGATGCTCTGCCGGGGGCCTGGCCCTGGCTCGTCAGCATCCAGATCCCCACCCGAATGGGCCCCCGGCATTCCTGTGGCGGGTCCCTCCTCAGCCCCCGCTGGGTCCTCACAGCCGCTCACTGCTTCAAAGCCAAGAGAAGGTGAGACGGGGGCAGTCTGTGCCAGGGCCCTAGGGGGACAGTGGGGGGGGGCCAGGCCGTGGGCAGGAGGGGAAGCTGGAAGACACTTGGGGAGCATGAGCAGCTGATCCATAGAATGTAAGGCTAGAAGGGACCATGAGAGCCTCTCGTCTGACCCCCTGTATTAAGCCCAGTAACTTGGGTTTGGCTAATACATTTTCCAGAAGCATCTGATCTGGATCTGGAGACACCGCGAGGTGGAGAATCCACCAGTGCCCTTGGGCGTTTGTTCCAGTCCTTAGTCACCTTCACTGTTGAATATTTGGGCCTAATTTCTCATTTGAATTTGTCTGGCTTCTGCTTCCAGCCACTAGTTCTTGTTTGGCCTTTCTCTGCTAGATTGAATAGGTGTTTAGTGCCTGGTACGTTCTCTCCATGAAGGCCTTTACACGCTGTACTTGAGTCACTTCTCAATCTAAGCTGAACAGACAGAGTCTGACTCTCACTGTCAGGCATTTTCTACAGCCCTTGAATCATTTTTGTGGATCTTGTCTGCACCCTCTCCAGTTTTTCAACATCCTTTTTAAAATGTGGAGACTAGAACTGAATGCAGCGTTCAGCTGGGACTCACTAACACTGCAAACAGAAGTAAAATCCTCTCCCAGCTCGTACTCACGTCTCCCCAGTTTATACATCCACAGATCACAATAGCCTTTTTGTCACAGTGGAAGCTCATGGTCTATTACTTGTCCACTATGACCCCTAAATCCTGTTCAGTGTCACTGCTTTCCAGGCTACAGGCCCTCATTCTGTAGCTGTGGTCTGTGTTTCTTGTTCCTAGATGCATAACTTTCCATTTGGCTGTATTAAAATCTATGTTGTTTGAATGGCACTAGTTGACCAAACAATCCTGATCGCTCTGTACGGCTCCCCTTGCCTCATCATTATTTACCACTCCACCCATCTCTGGGTCATCCCTAAGCTGTACCAGCAGCGATTTGATATTCACTTCCAGAGCACTGATGAAAATGGTGAATGGCATCAGGCCCAGTGCTGAGGGAAGGGCCGGGTGCCTTGGCGAATGAGACGGGGCAGAGCTCTTCACTCACCTTCACTGTAGATCTGACACTCTGCTAGCTGTGGGCTGCTGGGTCTCTCTCTCCCTTCAAGCCTGCACAAAGGGCGAGGGAAGGGTGTGGATCTGGGGCCACCCCTTTCCCTGGTCCCTGCACCTCATTCACTGTTCACATGAGATGTGCTGCCAGGTGCTGTGGTTCTGCACACAGGCCATGCCTGCCTTGGGGAAGTGGGTCGTTTTAGAAAGGGGTCCCCCAGATTAGCCACAACCAGCTAAGAAGATTTCACCGTCGCCTGCCTCGGTCTACACTGGAGGCTAAGTCATGACAACACATTCTCTGAATGACACACTCCACCCATGCAGACGTGGCCTGAGCAAGGGTCAGAACTGTGGGCTGAGGGCACACGGATAAAGCGGACTCCTGGAAAATATTTGGAAATTGCTAGCAAATACTTCAGAGCTGTGATGTTCATGGTTAAGCACAGCATAGCTGCTTGGCACTGGTGCTGCAGACTGACAGGGCCTGCCCTATGCCCTGGATTGTCAGCACTCCCTTGAGAGGACCTTGCAGTGTGCCGGACCCCCAGCAGGTCACACCTTTCTGCAGGGGTAAGCCATGCGGCCTCAAAGACTGCTAGACCATGTCCCCAGGCTGCAGCACTCCTGTTCCTCCTTGCGAACGCTGCCCAGAGAGTCTGACTGAAGCAGAGTCCTGTTCAGAGACTTTTCTCCCGGTCAAGGATTCATAGCCTCCAAGGCCAGAAGGGTCACTGTGAGCATCTGGTCTGACCTCCTGTGTAATACAGGCCAGAGACCTGCCCCCAAATTAATTCCTAGAGCAGAGCTTTTAGACAATCCTCCAATCTTGATTTAAAAATTGTCACTGACGGAAAAACCACCATGACCCTTGGTAAATTGTTCCAATGGGTAATTATGTCACCATCAAAAATTTACACTTATTTCCAGTCTGAATTTGTCTAGCTTCTAACTTCCAACCATTGGATCATGTTAGACCTTCCTCTGCTAGATCGAAGAGCCCGTTATTAAATATTTGTTCCCCCTGTAGGTACTTACAGACTGTGATCAAGTCACCCCAAACCTTCTCTTTGTTAAGCTAATGATTGAGCTCCTTGAGTCTATTGCTATCAGGCAGGTTTTCTAGTCCTTTGATCTCTGTAGGGTCTTCCATTGATATAGAACCATGGGACTGGAAAGGACCGTGAGCAGTCATCTAGTCCAGTCCCCTGCACTCCTGGCAGGACTAAGTATTATCTAGACCATCCTTGACAGGTGTTTGTCCAAACTGCTCTTAAACATCTCCAATGATGGAGATTCCACAACCTCCCTGGGCAATTTATTCCAGGGCGTGACCACTCTGACAGTTGGGAAGCTTTTCCTAATGTCCAACCTAAATCTCCCTTGCTGCAATTTATGCCCATTGCTTCTAGTCCTGTCCTCAGAGGCTACGAAGAACAATTTTTCATCCTCCTCCTTGTAACAACTTTTTATGTAGTTGAAAACTGCTGTCAGGCTCCCCCTCAGTCTTCTCTTCTCCAGATTAAACAAACCCAATTTTTTCAATCTTCCCTCATAGGTCATGTTTTTTTAGATCTTTCATCAGTTTTGTTGCTCTTCTCTGGACTTTCTCCAATATGTCTCCATCTTTCCTGAAATGTGGCACCCAGAACTGGACACAATACTCCAGTTGAGGCCTAATCAGCGCTGAATAGAGCAGAAGAATTATGTCGTGTCTTGCTTTCAGCACTTCTGCTAATACAGCCCAGAATGATGTTTGCTTTTTTTGCAACAGTGTTACAATGTTGATTCATATTGCTTGTGATCCACTATGACCCCAAGATCCTTTTCCACAGTACTCCTTCCTAGGCAGTCATTTCCCATTTTGTATGTGTGTAACTGATTGTTCCTTCATAAGTGGAGTACTTTCCATTTGTCTTTATTGAATTTCATCCCATTTACTTCAAACCATTTCTCCAGCGTGTCCAGATCATTTTGAATTTTAATCCTATCCGCCAAAGCACTTGCAACCCTCCCAACTTGGTATTGTCCACAGACTTTATAAGTGTGCTCTCCATGCTATTATCTAAATTACTGATGAAGATATTGAACAGAACAGACCCAGAACTGATCCCTTCGGGACCCCACTTGATATGCCTTTCCAGCTTGACTGTGAACCACTGATAACTACTCTCTGGGAACGGTTTTCCAACCAGTTATGCACCCACCTTATAGTAGCTCCATCTAAGTTGTATTTCCCTAGTTTGTTTATGAGAAGGTCATGTAAGACACTATCAAAAGCCTTACTAAAGTCAAGATATACCACATCTACCACTTCCCCCCTATCTACAAGGTTTGTTACCCTGTCAAAGCAAGCTATTAGATTGGTTTGACATGATTTGTTCATGACAGATCCATGCTGACTGTTTCTTATCACCTTTATTATCTTCTAGGTGATTGCAAATTGATTGCTTAGTTATTTGCTCCATTATCTTTCCAGGTACTGAAGTTAAGCGGACAGGCCTGTAATTCCCTGGGTTGTCTTTATTTCCCTTTTTATAGATGGGCACTATATTTGCCCTTTTCTAGTCCTCTAGAATCTCTCCTGTCTTCCACGACTTTTAGAAGATAATCACTAATGGCTCAGATATCTCCTCAGTCAGCTCCTTGAACATTCTAGGATGTACTTTATCAGGCCCTGGTGACTTGAAGGCATCTAACTTGTCTACATAATTTTTAAGTTGTTCTTTCCCTACTTTAGCCTCTGATCCTACCTCATTTTCATTGGCATTCACTATGTTGCATGTCCAATCGCTACTAAACTTTTTGGTGAAAACCAAAACAAGAAAGTCATTAAGCACCTCTGCTGTTTCCACATTTTCTGTTATTGTTTCCCTCCCGCCCATTGAGTAACGGGCCTACCCTGTCCTTGGTCTTTTTCTTGCTTCTAATGTATTTGTAGAATGTTTTCTTGTTACCCTTTATGTCTCTAGCTAGTTTAATCTTGTTTTGTGGCTCGGCCTTTCTAATTTTGTCCCTACATACTTGTGTTATTTGTTTATATTCCTCCTTTGTAATTTGACGTTTTTTAGGACTCTTTTTCGAATATCAGATTGTTGAAGATCTTCTGGTTAAGCCAGGGTGGTCTCCTGCCATACTTTCTAACTTACCTATGCAGTGGAATAGTTTGCTTTTGTGCCATTAATAATGTGTCTTTGAAAAAACTGCTAGCTCTCTTCAACTGTTTTTCCCTTTAGACTTGCTTCCCATGGGATCTTACCTATTAACTCCCTGAGTTTGCTAAAGTCTGCCTTCTTGAAATCCACTGTCTTTATTTGGCTGTTTTCCCTCCTATCATTCCTTAGAATCATGAATGCGACCATTTCATGATTGCTTCCACCTAGACTGCCTTTGCCACTTTCAAATTTGCAACCAGTTCCTACCTGTTTGTCAAAATCAACTCTAGAACAGCCTCTCCCCGAGTAGCTTTCTCCCCCTTCTGAACTAAAAATGGTCTCCAATCCATCCCAAGAACCTGTTGGGTAATCTGTGCCCTGCTGAGTTCTTTTCCCAGCAGGTGTCTGGGTGGTTGAAGTCCCCCATCACCACCACGTCCCGGGCTTCGGATAATTTTGTTAATTTGTAAAAAAGCCTCCCCCACCTCTTCTTCCTGGTGAGCTGTTCCGTAGTAGACCCCGACCATGACAGCACCACAGGTGCTAACTTTTGTTTTTCCCAGTGGGGTGGGTGCTCCACCCCTGATCCGCCCCAAGCGCTGCTCCCATTTGGCCTCTTCCCCCAAGGCCCCGCCCTCGTTCTGCCTCTTCCCAACCCCGCTCCGCCCCCTCCCCCAAGGGCTCCCACCCACCCACCTGCCGCTCGCTCCTCTCCCCTCCCCCAAATGCCTCCTGCCAGCCGCTTGCTGATCTGCGGCGAGCCCCAGGGCCCCAAATAGCTGATCAGTGCCCAGCCCCGGGGCCCGGAACCACTGGCTAGTGGGTGCTGAGCACCCCCTGTTTTTTCCCCTGTGTGCTTGAGCCCCGGAGCACCAATGGAGTCAGCGCCTGTGACATCACCCTCCCCTTTTATCCTTAACCAGAGACGTTCAACAGGTCTGTCTCCTATTTCCATCTCAGCCTTGGTCCAACAGCTCCTCCCTTTTCCCCTTCCTGCTTACTCCCCATACTTGTTGCATTAGTATACAGACCCCTAAGATACTGATTTGATTCCCCTCCCACCCCGTCCCCAGTGTTCTCTCTTGTCTCTCCCTTATCCTGGCTGTAATGGCCCATGCCCTGCCCCCCAGATTCCAACCCTTCTCCGAAGTCTCCACGTTTTTTACTTACCTGTGGGCTTTTGTCACCTGCCTCCATCAAACCTAGTTTAAAGCCCTCCTCACTAGGTTAGTCCCTAGTCCCTATATGGGCTGGTCCCAGCCAGTCCCTAACAATCCATTCATACCACCCCAGACAAAACACCTTGTGTCTCCTGCTTTGTCCCAGGGGCAGAATTTTAACCCTGCTGCACCCACTGGGTAGCAATACCACGGTGATAGGTTTGGAGTCATACAAATAGCCATAAAAATATTGCAGGAAAGTCCCACTTCTCTCCCAACGAGCTAAATGCAGCCCCTTTGAACAGAGCTCATATTTATACTGTCCCAATTAAACAGTCGCCATTCACTGTCACTAGGGTTAGCAAAGTGCCCCAGGCATGGGGCCCCAGTAGTGGGAAATGGAAATTGAAACTAAAAATACAGTGCAGCGATGTGAGTGGGGCAACGACCCACTGGAAGAACTGACGTGTGGTGGGTTCCAGGCTGTCTCTTTCCAAGGATACATCTACCCTTGAAGCTAGGGGTGGGAGTCCCAGCTCGAGGAGCCGTGCGCATGCTAGCTCTGATTGAGCGAGCGTGTCAGAAATCGTAGTCTTGGTCTGTGCACTAACCTGGCTGTGCGCGTGTAACCCACTCACCTCCTGGGTGCGGTGTTCTCTCCCTCTCTCCCTCCCCGAGACCACTTAGAGATTAAGCCATGTGGCTTTTAGCTCATGCAGTAGAGGCTCATGCATTAAGCTCCAGAGGTCCCAGGTTCGATCCCACTTGTAACACCGACAGGCCCCGGTCGATAGCTGTGTGTGTGTGACGTACAGTGGATGTTACGGATCTGTGGGACCGTCTGTAGTTCTGTGCACTAACCCAGCTCTAGGTATGTGACATGTAGTGGGTGTTACGGGTCTTTGGGGCCCACATCTGTGCAGTAACCCACCTGTGTGTGTGATGTACGGTGGGTGTTACAGATCCGCAGGGCTCGGGTCTGTGCCTTAACCCAGCTGTGTGCGCATGACGTACGGCGGGTGTTACGGATCTGCAGGGCCCCAGTTTGTGCAGTAACCCAGCAGTGCGTGTGACGTTCGGTGGGTGTTAGGGGTTTGTGGTGCCCCGGTCTGTGCACTAACCAGCTGTGTGTGTGAGCGTGACGTACGGCGGGTGTTACGGATCTGCAGGGCCCCAGTTTGTGCAGTAACCCAGCAGTGCGTGTGACGTTCGGTGGGTGTTAGGGGTTTGTGGTGCCCCGGTCTGTGCACTAACCAGCTGTGTGTGTGAGCGTGACGTACGGCGGGTGTTACGGATCTGCAGGGCCCCGGTCTGTGCACTAACCAGCTGTGTGTGTGTGTGTGAGACGTACGGCGGGTGTTACGGATCTGCAGGGCCCCGGTCTGTGCACTAACCAGCTGTGTGTGTGTGTGTGAGACGTACGGCGGGTGTTACGGATCTGCAGGGCCCCGGTCTGTGCACTAACCAGCTGTGTGTGTGTGTGTGTGTGACGTACGGCGGGTGTTACGGATCTGCAGGGCCCCGGTCTGTGCACTAACCCAGCTGTGTGTGTGCATGATACTAAACTGGGAGGAGTGGTAGATACGCTGGAGGGGAGGGATAGGATACAGAAGGACCTAGACAAATTGGAGGATTGGGCCAAAAGAAATCTGATGAGGTTCAATAAGGATAAGTGCAGGGTCCTGCACTTAGGACGAAAGAACCCAATGCACAGCTACAGACTAGGGACCGAATGGCTCGGCAGCAGTTCTGCGGAAAAGGACCTAGGGGTGACAGTGGACGAGAAGCTGGATATGAGTCAACAGTGTGCCCTTGTTGCCAAGAAGGCCAATGGCATTTTGGGCTGTATAAGTAGGGGCATAGCGAGCAGATCGAGGGACGTGATCGTTCCCCTCTATTCGACGTTGGTGAGGCCTCATCTGGAGTACTGTGTCCAGTTTTGGGCCCCACACTTCAAGAAGGATGTGGATAAATTGGAGAGAGTCCAGCGAAGGGCAACAAAAATGATTAGGGGACTGGAACACATGAGTTATGAGGAGAGGCTGAGGGAGCTGGGATTGTTTAGCCTGCAGAAGAGAAGAATGAGGGGGGATTTGATAGCTGCTTTCAACTACCTGAAAGGGGGTTCCAAAGAGGATGGCTCTAGACTGTTCTCAATGGCAGCAGATGACAGAACGAGGAGTAATGGTCTCAAGTTGCAGTGGGGGAGGTTTAGATTGGATATTAGGAAAAACTTTTTCACTAAGAGGGTGGTGAAACACTGGAATGCGTTACCTAGGGAGGTGGTAGAATCTCCTTCCTTAGAGGTTTTTAAGGTCAGGCTTGACAAAGCCCTGGCTGGGATGATTTAACTGGGAATTGGTCCTGCTTCGAGCAGGGGGTTGGACTAGATGACCTTCTGGGGTCCCTTCCAACCCTGATATTCTATGATTCTATGATTCTATGACGTTCGGTGGGTGTTAGGGGTTTATGGTGCCCCGGTCTGTGCACTAACCAGCTGTGTGTGAGCGTGACGTACGGCGGGTGTTACGGATCTGCAGGGCCCCGGTCTGTGCACTAACCAGCTGTGTGTGTGAGCGTGACGTATGGTGGGTGTTACAGATCTGCAGGGCCCCGGTCTGTGCACTAACCAGCTGTGTGTGTGTGTGACGTAGGGGGGTGTTAGGGGTTTGTGGTGCCCGGGTCTGTGCAGTAACCAGCTGTGTGTGTGTGAGCGTGACGTACGGCGGGTGTTACGGATCTGCAGGGCCCCGGTCTGTGCACTAACCAGCTGTGTGTGTGTGACGTAGGGGGGTGTTAGGGGTTTGTGGTGCCCGGGTCTGTGCAGTAACCAGCTGTGTGTGTGTGTGTGTGTGTGTGTGAGATGTACGGTGGGTGTTATGAATCCACAGGCCTGGGTTTGTGCACTAACCCAGCTGTGTGTGCGTGTCTAGGGTCCTGGCTCGGTGGAGGATTGTGATTGGCATCTCAGAGCTCTCCCACCTGTCAGACTTAGTGCAGATCCGCTCAGTGCACAGGGCCGTGCTGCACCAGGAGTACAATCCACGCAAGGAGACAAATGACATCGCCCTCATCCAGCTCGACCGTCCTGTGACCTTTGATGACCTCACACAGCCGGCCTGCCTGCCCAGCGCACTCATGGCCGTCACCAGCCTCTCCCCCTGCTACATCAGTGGCTGGGGCAGCACCAGCCAGAACAGTGAGGGGCTGTGCGCGCGGGTGCCGTCTTGTTCCCCGGGGGGTCTAGGAGAGGGATGGACCCAGCCCTTACGGCTTGGCTGCACTAGATCAGCCGCACACATGGGGACATGCACACGCAGCTACGCCCAGGGGGATGCACACACAAATACATCTATGGCCACACACACATGCATTGCAGTTATGAATGGGGTTGGAAAATGGGTTGTAAGCCCCTCCTGCCCCACACTGCCAGCAGCCCCGTGGGTGGGGCTCACTTATGCTCTCCGATGGACAGAGAGGCAGGCTCTGCCTGGCACGGCACCTGAGCTGTGGCTTACAGCCGGCCAGCTGCCTCAGTGGTGTGAATGGCGAATGCTGGGCTGAGAAAACTTGTCACCTGCTCGGGACAGGTGCAAGTGACACACAGTGCTGGGCAGTGGCATGCAGCTGTTATTGGTGGGGGATGTTATCGTTCGTGGTCAACTTATCCATCAGCATGAATTTCATCCTGCCCCTTCCTCCTGAGTCCCTACCCCCTGTTCTCTCCTCTCCCCATCACTTGCCTCTCTTCCCCTCCCCCTCCCTCCTACAATAGTATTTGCAACTGCTTCCAGTGCGGGTGAAATCCTGGCCCTAGTGGAGTCCGTGGGAGTTGAGTATCTTCTGCCCAGTTCATGAAGTTCATGTTTGCTTCCCTGCTGTAGGTCATTATTGAAATTGCCGTAAAGGACCTGGCCTAAGCTACTCCCCGCAGTCCCACCTCTCCCAGCTCACATCTACTGACCAGACACTACAAGTCTAGTCACTATGGGCAGGGCAGGTGAGGAGGCACCGCGGCATCATCTGCGCCAGCCCCTACTCAACTGGGGCTGCCTCCTACCTGCATCTGGCGGCTGCAGCTCCTAGCCCTGGCTCTTCAGTCACATCGTTGCCCTAACCTGCCCCTTGAGCATTACCCCCTTTCCCCAGTGTCTTTGCTTTTTCCTCTGTAGGTTCTACACAGCAACACCCACCTCTCCAGTCTCCTAATAGTCTTTCTGTGTGACACTAAAATAATGGGGGAACCAGCTGATTTATTTGGATGTTCCAAAGGCCTTTGAGGGTGTCCTCTTGAGAGGGTGTTAGGGAAAGTCAGCCAGTCCTGGGGGGAGAGGCCAGGTGCTGTCTTGGGAGAGAAATGGGCTAAGAGAAGAGCACAACTAAATGGTCATCTTTCATCCCGGCAGAAGGTCAGCAGCAGGGCCCAGGAAGCTGTACCAGGACTGGGGCAGGTTCATGTATTATTAATAATCTGGAAAGGGGGCTGTGCAGCAAGGAGCAAGTCTAGCAGCCGAAACAGTCAGTTCCAGAGACGACGGTGAGGCCCGTCAGAGTCACCGGAGCCAGCCGGGGCATGGGCAACACGAGGGCGGATGGAATTCAATGCTGGGCACTGCACGGGGGAAGGACTAGCTAGACCAGCCCACACCTTGCTGGGTTCCAACGTAACCACAGAGCACGGGGGCCTGCAGCCCAGTGAAATGTCTGCTCAGTGTGCAGCAGCCACAGATGGGCTGTTAGGGTGCATCAGGTAGGGGACGGCATGTAACTGGACTGTTAGCACGGTAGCTGGCCAACCCTCCTCCGGGCACTCTGTGCTATACCAGTCACTGGGTTGGGAGGGCGGGAAATTCAGAAACAGGCCAAGAACCAGCAGATCTGTGAAGAGAGACTGGGACTGTTTGCCTTAGAGGGGAGCCAAATAAGTGATGGAGGGATTCAGAAGAATGACTGGGACAGAGAAACCAGTCAGCCAGCGGAGTATAGGTTGTTAGGAGGCCGGCGTGCCGGGAGTACTGCTTACTGTGAAACACAATTGTTACCTTCTCCATTTCCCCTTTTCCCTTCAACCCTCCCGCCTTCCCAGTTGACAGCAGATCAAACCTCGCCTCTGCCAGGAGGCCTGCAAACCCTCAACAGTGGCTAGGCAGTGGGGGAGCTGGGCCCTGGGCTCGTCCTGCTCACCAACGTTGTCTCACTGCTCTCCCCTGAAGCCACCTGTTGTCTTTTGGTCTTAGAGGGTGAACTCCTGGGGCAGGGACTGGCTCCTTGGTCTGCGTTTGAATAGCACCTGGCAGTGGGGCTGGGACCTGGGTCTGGCCGCGCCTAGGCACTCCCACCATACACATAAATAGCAATAACTGCATTAAACTCCCTGGGGCAGGGACCTTCTGTCTTTTCTGCTTAATGTCTGCACGGCCCGTGGCACAATGAGACAGCTGCAGTGGAGACAGCTCCGGGAGTACTGGTGGAGGGCCGCCTCCTGCTCAGACCTTCGGCTTCATCTGCCAGTGGGATTTAACGCCGGGACCATTGACCTGTTCTGGAGACCTAGCAGGGGGTGATGGAAAACCTGAGAACAGCTCTGTTGCTGCCTGTGAGCCTGCTCACAAACCGTGGTGGTGGATAACTGTCCCACTGCCCTGGAGCCATCCCATAGAGCTCTGTACCCACGTTCACAACTACCCCCATCCAGAGAGCACCAGCGGGGAGGCTGAAGCCAAAGCTGGGCCAAGCAGGGCCAAGCTGGCAGGCAGAGGCCTTGTAGCCTTCTATGGATGGGAGCTACTCTCACAGCATCACAGTAGCCAGCATCCTCTGCCCGCCTCATTCAGCCTGGACACAAGGACAGCCATGGCCACAAACACGCTCCCGTTCAGCTACACCGAATCAGAAACCACACCACCCTGTCTGCGGTAATCCAGGCTCTGTGAGCCAGGCTGGGCTATCAGCACTCATTGCACGGAGCTACACGTGCTTAGACTTGGTCCAGCATGCATCAGACACCATGCACGCACACACCCCCCTTGACCTCATACTACGCTCCCTGCATGGCTCCCGGGGAGGGCCCAGCCCACTTCATGGTCTCAGGGTTAATCTTCGAGGTCCTCCACAGAAGTGGTGCCAGACACCGCCGAGCGCACGTGTCGGTGACACCTGTGTGCCTGGGGAGCTGTGACGCTGTCAGCCACATGGAGGAAGCCTGGGAAGCAGAAGCCTGGCTTTCTGGGCAGCGGGGCTGAGGCGTTGTGGCTCATTAGTGAGGAGAGGCGAATGAGCACAGCTCTCACAGCATCCTCAAGTGTTAGAGTCACGTCTTCGCCTTCCCCAGCCGTGGTGGGGAGAAAGAGACGGGAATAATCACTAAAATCCCCAGCTGCCCTGTGTGGGTCTGGGCAGACAGGCGGACCTGGGCTTGTTGGGTGCCATGGCTGGGGGGCGCGCCATCCCTGGGGTGACCGCACATTGATGACTTGACGGTTACTCATGGCAATGGGAGGGGGAATAGTACAGTGGCTGAGAGGGGCCTAGGCTGCTCCCCCCAGCCATTGCCTTTGGGCCCCAGCTGCTGGAGCAGGAGTCAGAATGACAGTCCCTGGCGCTCCATGGGGCACGGTGAGAACTCCAGGAGCCAGAACTGGCCTGTGCCGGGGCATTGAGACACGACTCCGTGGTAGGGGAGGGGGCATGAGGGCGCAGAAGGAAGGGGCAGAGCTGCGGGCGGGGTCTGGGCTGGATGAACAGGGAGAGAGCTGAAACCCTCTCCTTCCCTGCAGCGGTGGGCACTGCTGACATCCTGCAGGAGGCCAAGGTGCAGCTCATTGACACTGCGACCTGTAACAGCAGCCGCTGGTTCAACGGGGCCATCGCCAGCAACAACCTGTGTGCAGGGTACGAGCAAGGAGGCATCGACAGCTGCCAGGTACGCAGGCCGGCGCCCTCTCACTGCACCTGCCCCAGCTCTAGCTCCTCTCCCCACTGCCCTCTTTGGGCATCACCAGCCTGTCCCCAGCCAGCAGCGGCTGCCAGGTACACAGGCCCTGCGCCCCTGTTAACACCCTCTCTCCACGCCCCCAGAAACGAGTGCATGGCCGGGGGAGAGCTGAGCTCTGTAGGTATCAGGGCTGCTTGGCCTTAGGGGCTGCAGCTGGAGACAGCTCCGGGAGTACTGGTGGAGGGCCGCCTCCTGCTCAGACCTTCGGCTTCATCTGCCAGTGGGATTTAACGCCGGGACCATTGACCTGCTCTGGAGACCTAGCAGGGGGTGATGGAAAACCTGAGAACAGCTCTGTTGCTGCCTGTGAGCCTGCTCACAAACCGTGGTGGTGGATAACCGTCCCACTGCCCTGGAGCCATCCCATAGAGCTCTGTACCCACGTTCACAACTACCCCCATCCAGAGAGCACCAGCGGGGAGGCTGAAGCCAAAGCTGGGCCAAGCAGGGCCAAGCTGGCAGGCAGAGGCCTTGTAGCCCTCTATGGGTGGGAGCTACTCTCACAGCATCACAGTAGCCAGCATCCTCTGCCTGCCTCCTGCCCGACAGGAGTTGGGGGGAGTCCTGGGTGTTGCTTGGAACTGCTCCCCATGAAGTCAGTCAGGACTCTGGGGGGGTCCCCTTTCTGGAGCAGCCTGTCTTCAGGACACACAGCTCACACAGCTTCCACCTTCCTGGGTATGACCTCGGAGCATTCAGCATCCTCTGCTCTCCGTGTGCTTCCCCAGGAGTCCACTCAGGCGGTGCTCCTGGGGAAGCCAGAGGGTCCTGCACCCCAACCGCAGTCAGACGTGACTCTCAGCCAGCCAGTAAAACAGAAGGTTTATTAGACGACAGGAACATGGTCTAAAACAGAGCTTGCAGGTGCAGAGAACGGACCCCTCAGCTGGGTCCATTCTGGGGGCAGTGAGCCAGACAACCACGTCTGCAGTTCACTCCATGTCCCAGCCAGCCCCAAACTAAAACCCCCTCCAGCCCCTCCTCCTCTGGGCTTTGTTCCTTTCCCGGGCCAGGTGTCACCTGATTCCTTTGTTCTCCAACCCTTTAGCTCTCACCTTGAGGGGGAAGGGCCCAGGCCATCAGTTGAGGAAACAGGGTGTCGCATTCTCTGTGTCCAGACTCCTCACACACCTGCCCTCTAGGGCTCTGAATGATCATACACCCTACCCCACCCCCTAGATACTTAAGAACTGCTAGGGGAAACTGAGCACCCCCACACTATTAGAGGAAACATTAAGAACAGTCCCACTCACAGGCGGTCACAAGTCCTCAGTAACACTCCTTCCCTCTTTCTGCAGGGGGACAGTGGGGGACCCTTAATGTGCAAAGATGAGGTCACATCCCGGTATTACGTGATTGGCATCACCAGCTGGGGCCACGACTGTGCCCAGGCCCACAAGCTGGGCCTCTACACCTCTACCCAGCCCTTTCTGGAGTGGATCCTGGAGAACACTGGGCTCCTGCAGCCCGAGGAGAAGACACCTGAGGAGATATTGCCACCACAGATTGTGCCCCTCCAGCCTCCTGCTGCTGCCACCAAAGTTGGGCCTCTCCTGCTCCCTGTCCTGCAAGAGCCAGTCGCCCCGCTGGAGCCACCCTACGTACCTCCAGAGCCACCCTACATACCCCCCGAGCCAGTCGCCCCCCTGGAGCCACCCTACGTACCTCCAGAGCCACCCTACATACCCCCCGAGCCAGTCGCCCCCCTGGAGCCACCCTACGTACCTCCAGAGCCACCCTACGAACCTCCAGAGACACCCTACATCTCCCCAAAGCCAGCCATTCTCCCAGAACCCGTAAGCCCACACAGAGCATTCCTCACCCACAAAGCCATTTATCCCCCACAAATTAATCCCCCCAAAGCCAGTTATCTCCCCAGACCAGTAATTGTCCTGAAACTACTGATCCCCCCCAAGATATACGCCCATACCCATCACAAAGAGAGCGGCCCCTCCCCACCAGCTGTCTCTGCTCTGTCTGCACCCCAGGGGCCTGGAACCTCCCAGGATTTTAAGAAGGACTGAGACAAACTGGGAAGAAGAGTCTTGACTCCATCTATGGGGGGAATGTAGCAGCTGGTGGGGACCAGCCGCGCCTGTTGCCCTGAGGGACAGTGATCTGAGTGACCCAGCCCCTGCATGGATTACATGTGTTGAATTTCCCTCTGGGTGCCCTTCTGGGCTGTTTAGCCTGTAGCCCTTGGAAGGCACCAGTGTCCCTGCTCCACCCCAGGAACTGAGGCAGGGCCTACATGGCTCAGCACTGCTCTGGCAGCCAAGGCACGGGGACCAAGTCACACCCATGGAGGCCCTGCCCATAGGGGCCCACCTGTATGTCCACCCATCCCTCGCTGCAAGCACCTTCCTAAAATAATCTCCAACCCCACAGATTTGGAGATTGAGAGGACAAGGATGGTGAGGAGATCATGCAGCGTGTCCTGCTCTCCTGAGGTCCCTTCCAGCCCATGGTCTCCTGCGACCACGGGTTCTGCAGCCAAGATAGACGTGGGGAGAGGAGTGACAGTAGATAGTCTAGGGGTACCATATTTGAACATTCAAAAAAGGGGACACTCCACGGGTGGGGGGGGGCTATTTGCTCGCACCCCCGCCCCCTTCCCTGCCCCCATTCAAACCCCTTCCCCAAAGACCTTGCCCCCACTCCGCCCTCGCCCTGCCCCATTGCTCCCCTTCCCCAAATCCCCGCCCCGGCCCTGCCTTCTCCCCTGAGTGCGCCGCGTTCCCTCTCTTCCCCCCTCCTTCCCAGCCATGCAAAACAGCTGTTTCGCAATGCAAGCACTGGGAGCTACGGGGAAAAAACAGGCACTCTCTCTTGAGTGATCAGCATTCACTCTCTTTCTTGAATGATCAACTTTGGGGAAAAATAATAATGGCAAAATCCCGGAGGTTTTTAGATATTTTAAAATTCCTCCTGGATGGGGATTTAAGAACCAAAAAGCTGGATATGTCCGGGAAAATACGGACATATGGTAATCCTAAAGTATTCTGGTTCCTGTGTTGCAGTGGGGAACTGAGGCACACAGGAAGTCTATGGCAGTGCCAGGCATTGAATCCAAAGCTCCTGAGCGGCAACCCTTTGCTTCAGCGACCTAGGCTCTTTCAGGTCATTAGCAACTCTGTGTTTTCTCAAGAGCCTCACTCCCAAGGAGGCTGGGCCTGCCCCACACAAGTTGTGTGACCCCAGCTCTTCAGTTACATTGTATGTGGGACCCAATGTAGCCACAAGGGCCTCACACCTTTGTGACGTGGAGGAGTGAGGCCAGTTCAGGCACTCACAGCTCCCAGGTGGTACAAATGAATCAGACTGTACCTCAGTTGTTCTCACCTGGCCGCTGTTCAGCCTCCTGGGGAGATCAGTGCACACTAAGCTAGGACTAAAGCCTCCACGTTGGCTCCCTCCCTAATGTATACAAAGCCACACTTTGCAGCTCTACACACCCCTTACGCAGCACGACTCCCTCAAGCTGATGCCCAAGTTACAGGCACTTTTGCAGCTAGTGTGCCTGGAGGCCCAGAGCTGCTTGTTAATTGCCCAGCGTGGGAATCTATGGGACAGTTCTCAAAGAAAGAAAAGTGATTCCTCACCAGTGTGATTATGACCCTGCTCACTTTCCCCTTCTTCAGAGTCTTGGGGAAAGCATTCACAGAGTAGGAGGAGGGAATATGGGATGTTTGGGGTCCTTTTATGCCTTGAAAGCCAGGATGAGGGGCCCCAATGGATGCTGGTTTTAGGGCTTCCGACCTTGCCTGTTGTGCAAGTCTTCACCCTAACTGTGTGGATCCACATGGATAATCACCTGGAAGAACCAGTCAGGAGGGGAAAGAATGAGTTTGGGGAGCTGGGAGAGAGGGGAGGTGAAAGCAAAATCATGACACAGTCCCCTCCCACACTGCCATCAGCTGCAGCACTAGGAACAAAGAATGTAGGTCACACTTACCAGCCGGGGGGGGGGAGAGACTGTATCCTGGAAAGCAGTGCCTCTGAAAAGGACTCAGGGGTCATGATAGAAAACAACTGAAATGAACTCCCAGGGCAATGCTGTGGCTAGGAGGGTGCATGTGAGCCATGGCTGTGTTAGCAAGGGGATAGCAGGTAGGGAGATGGTATTACTTATATATACAGCTTTAGTGAGACCACTGCTGGATACTGTCTCCAGTTCTGGGTCTGCACTTCTGTAAGGATACTGATAAATTGGAAAGTATTAGGAAAAGAGCTATGAGAACGTTTCAAAGTCTGGGAAACATGCCTTAGAGTGAGAGGCTAAGAGCAGGTTGAGCGGTGACTTGACCATGGTCTACAAGTACTTACATGAGGAGGAGATTTCTGATAGCACAGGACTCTTTACCCTGGCAGACAAAGGCAGAGCAAGATCTCGTGGCTGGAAGCTGGAGCGAGACACGTTCAGGGTAGGAGTAATGCACAATTTATTTAATGATTCTGTTCTCTTCTGATCTTAAAATCTTCCAGTGCACCTTGCTCTGCTAGGGTTACTTGGGCACTCAGGCTCCCTGGTGTTCCCCATCATGGAAGAACCCTGATACCGGCTGCAGGGAGTTTACAAGCCTCAGAGAGGCACCCCCCAATTCCTCATTCAAATCCACCATGCCCACAGGAAGTGACTATAGTAGAATTACATGGGAGGACAATTGTTTTCAAAGGCCTCACCCTTTGCAGCAGGTTGACTTCTCTGGCAAGGTGTCCCCATTGCTGTCACACTTAGAGGGAGGCTCTCGTCTGGAGGGCTCTGCTCGTGCCTTCAGAACTTAGAAAGCTTTTTCCTTGCTGATGGATGGCCCAAGTCTGATGGGTTCCCTGCAGCTAGACTGGGGTGTGCAGCTGGAAAAGCTAAGCTCTCGAACAACGCTGACTTTCTAAATGCATCTGTGCTGTATTCACTGCCCCTGGCAGCACAAGTGAAATGAGTAATGATACTGAGCTATTGGTTCGTGCTTTGCAGCTTCAAAGCACTGTTTAAATACTCACTAAATACCTCTCTGCTGTCATAAACAGAGCCAGTCTGTGCAGTATTGGGCTTCCCCCAGTGCAAACTGTGAGCAGGGCCTCTTGCTAGAGCCTGGCCAAACTTCACCACCCCCACCCCCGTGACACACCCCACCACACTGGGCACAGCTTCTTACCTCAAAACCGTGCACCATGTGGGGACATCTGTCTGCCCACATTCAGTGTAGATAAATGCAAAGTAATGCACACTGGAGGGGAAAATTGGAACTACTCATACACTGTACAGGGCTCCATCAGCTCAGAAAGGGACCTGGGTGTCGGTGCAGCAGCTCAATGTGCAGCTGCAGTCAAAACAGCAAACAAGGTGCTGGGGTGCATAAGGCATGGACTGGAGTCTAACAGCAACCATTCCAATGGTTGAGGTTCAACAAGGACAAGTGCAGAGTCCTGCACTTAGGACGGAAGGATCCCATGCACCGCTACAGACTAGGGACCGAATGGCTCGGCAGCAGTTCTGCAGAAAAGGACCTAGGGGTGACAGTGGACGAGAAGCTGGATATGAGTCAACAGTGTGCCCTTGTTGCCAAGAAGGCCAATGGCATTTTGGGCTGTATAAGTAGGAGCCTTGCCAGCAGATCGAGGGACGTGATCGTTCCCCTCTATTCGACATTGGTGAGGCCTCATCTGCAGTACTGTGTCCCGTTTGGGGCCCCACACTACAAGAAGGATGTGGAAAAATTGGAAAACGTCCAGCGGAGGACAACAAAAATGATTAGGGGGCTGGAGCACATGAGTTATGAGGAGAGGCTGAGGGAAGTGGGATTGTTTAGTCTGCGGAAGAGAAGAATGAGGGGGGATTTGATAGCTGCTTTCAACTACCTGAAAGGGGGTTCCAAAGAGGATGGCTCTGAACTGTTCTCAGTGGTAGCAGGTGACAGAACAAGGAGTAATGGTCTCAAGTTGCAGTGGGGGAGGTTTAGGTTGGATATTAGGAAAAACTTTTTCACTAGGAGGGTGGTGAAACACTGGAATGCGTTACCTAGGGACGTGGTGGAATCTCCTTCCTTTGAGGTTTTTAAGGTCAGGCTTGACAAAACCCGGGCTGGGCTGATTTAGTTGGGGAGTGGTCCCGCTTCGAGCAGGGGGTTGGACTAGATGACCTCCTGAGGTCCCTTCCAACCCGGATAGTCTATGGTTCTATGATTCTAATGCCTTTATATATTCAATGGTGCGGCCTCACCTGGATATGGCAGAATTTGAAGGAGTGCAGAGAAAGGTGTTGGGAATGCTCAGAGGCCTGGGAAAACTATCATATGAAGAGAGATTGAAAAGATTGGGATTACTACTTTAGAGAAGAGATGAATAAAAGGGGACATGATACAAATCTGTAAAGTAATAAATAATCTAGTGAAGTTAGTTCAGGAGCTTCTGTTCTCCCTGTCTCACAGCACAAGGACAAGAGGACATTTGATTAAATCAAAAGGTGGCAAATTCAAAACCAGTAAAAGAAAATACTGTCCATCACAATACATAGTCGGGGGGGCGGGGGGGGAGAGATAGCTCAATGGTTTGAGCATTGGCCTGCTGAACCCAGGGTTGTGAGTTCAATCCTTGAGGGGGCCATTTAGGGAACTGGGGCAAAAATTGGGGATTGGTCCTGCTTTGAGCAGGAGGTTGGACTAGATGACCTCCTGAGGTCCCTTCCAACCCTGATATTCTATGATTCTATGATTCTAGTCTGCGGAACTCATTGCCACTGGAAGTTGTTAAGGCCAAAAACTTGGCAAAAGTCCAAAAAGGACTGGACATTTATATGGATAATGAGAATATCCAGATTTATAAGAGTTAATGCAAAAAGCGGTGTGGGAAGGAATATTAAACATTGGATTAAATCCTGAAGCACAATCTCCAACAATTAAAGATTAGAATCAGCCCTTTCCGGGGGAGGAGCAGATTGCCTCGCATCTGCTGCTTTGAGGTTCTTACACTTTCCTCTGGACTATCTGGTTCTGGACAGTTGGGCACAGGACAGTATTGGCCAGTCCTATGTTCCTTGTTCAAGTGTATGTATCAGTCCACTCTGGGACAATGTGGGCAGCTAGGCCATGATGCCGCAGCAGGGCACAGAGCGCCTGGAGAACATGCTCACTCAACCTGCACTGTGTGGGGTAATGAATCCAGTGTGCCCTACTACAGAGAGAGCAGGGCAGGAGGAGAGCTGGCCAAGCTGGATACACTGTTCAGGGAGATTTCGGTCTGTGCTGTAAGCAGTAGCCTACCCATTCCTACCTGCCCCGGGGTATCTCCATCGCCCACGGAAGTCACCGTCCCTGTCACCCTCGCAGTGCTCACAGCTTTGGCCCTGATGCCTCCATCAGCACCTTCCCAGCTCCACTTGCTCGTCACAAAGGAAGGCGGAAACCAGAGACCTGTGTGATGTCATACTGGCCAGTCACCGATTGGACGGAGGCCCTGGACTTGGTTTATGGTGTCACGAGTAGTGAGGCACGTGTCGTAGCTGCAGGTGCCTGATGCTCCGGTGGAAGATGCGGCTGCTCCCCCTCCTCCTGTTCCACACCCTGGTTTGGCCCATGCACAGCACGAAGGGCAGCTGCGAGTAAGTGACACCTGGGCCACGAGAGGAACTACTGAGAGGGGCCCTGATGGGGCCCTTCCTAAGCACCGAAGGGCATTGGCCCCCCCCCACATGAGGCCGTCCTGAACGACAGGGATTCCTGCCCCCTTCCCAGGGTCAGGTGACATCGGTGCCTCATGGCTTAGCAATGAGGCCCTGGCATATCAATCCCATGGGCCATCTCACATGGGGTGGGTAACGCACAGGGCTCCTAGGCCCTGCTGCTTCCCTCGGGCTGTGTCCAGGGAGAGGCAGGTGGCCTGACACAGAAGATGCCTGGCAAGACCTGGGCGTGAGATAGAACCAGCCGGAGGCAAAGGTCAGCCCCAGGGTAAGTGTCAAATCCCTGATGCCTTGCCAGGCCACAGCCAGCAGGGCAGTGACACTCCTCTGTCTCCAGTGCAGCCTGTGGGCGCCGGCCCCTGGCGTCTGGCTACGGTGGGATGCGGATCGTGGGTGGCGTAGATGCTCTGCCGGGGGCCTGGCCCTGGCTCGTCAGCATCCAGATCCCCACCCGAATGGGCCCCCGGCATTCCTGTGGCGGGTCCCTCATCAGCCCCCGCTGGGTCCTCACAGCCGCTCACTGCTTCAAAGCCAAGAGAAGGTGAGATGTGCGACCTTGGGGGAGGGGGTGCCCTCACAGCCCAGGCAGGGGGCCAGCAGCTCAGGCCACCCACCCACTCTTCCATGTACTCCCAGCACTTGCAAGCCAGAAGGGCATCTGGACAATGCCATGGAACTGGCCATGCCATGGGGCTGATCCTTATGGGGCGAGACAGCTGGGCACCACGGCCTATTCCACAGGCTGGCACTGTTCCCTGGCCAGGCATCAACACACCCTAGGCTGAGCCTGGTGTGCCTGGGCACTGACTGACAGCTTGTCCCAAGGTGAGAGCATGCTGGAGAACAGCTGCCCTATTGTGTCTCTGTACCTGGCTCCCTGCTGCCGCGCTCTCTCCTTGCCTCAGACAGTAGGGCAGTGCAATGCACCCAGCTACAGTGCAGCTCTCTGCGGCCCTGCACCGGCCGGGAGAGGAACCGCTCTATCCCCCCCCACCTGCGCCCTGGGATTGACTCCCGTTCTGTTCTCCAGGCTACTCCCGCAGTGGCGTGTTGTGGTCGGTGCGTCCCAGCTATCCCAGCGTGGCCCCGAGGCCCAGGTGCGCTCCATCAAACAGGTGGTGCTGCACGAGCGCTACGAGCCGCGCATGGAGAGCAATGACATCGCTCTGCTGGAGCTCGAGCAGCCGATCGAGTGCAATGACTACGCACAGCCCGCCTGCCTGCCCAGTGCCATGGTGGAGGTGTCGAACCTGTCCCACTGCTACATCAGCGGCTGGGGAGTCACGCAGGAGACATGTGAGAGCCCCAGGCTCCCTGTTAACTCTAACTGGGCACCTGTCCCAGCACGGACACACTGACCTCAGCTGGGACTACTGGGATCTGGCTGCACTGAAGGTCTAGGCCTCTGCTGCCGTGAAAAGGCAGCAGCTGCCCCTCCTGACGCTGTCAGTGCCCCACACACCTCACTGAGCCAAGGGCATGTGCCCACCAAGGGCTGGATCCAAACCTCACCTGCCCAGGCAAGGGAGGAGGAGGAGGGGATGCATGAGCAAAACCACCTCCCACAAAAGTGTGGGAGCAGAGTGAAGGTTAGGCACTGGGGGAGGGGCACACCCATGTGGCGCACTGGGGAACGGGAGATAGGGCTAAGAGCTGTGCAGTAAATATTCTTCATGTCCCTGCAGCCCTGGAAACAGCCGACATCCTGCAGGAGGCCAAGGTGCATCTCATTGACATCACGACCTGTAACAGCAGCCGCTGGTACAACGGGGCCATCGCCAGCAACAACCTGTGTGCAGGGTACGAGCAAGGAGGCATCGACAGCTGCCAGGTATGCAGGCTGGAGCCCTCTCACTGCAGAGTCCTCCCCAGCTCTGCTCAAATGCTTGTGCTGTGGCCTCACACCCCCTCTTCTGGGATCCCCGCCTAGAACTCTCACTACCCCCTGCTCTGCTGGAATCCTCACCTGGGACCCTGCCTCCACTTCCTCCAATATCCCGACCCAGGGCTCTGCCTCCCCCTCCTCCGACCTGAACAGTTTCAGCACCCTTGTCTACGGTCTCCTTCAGTCCCAGACAACGCTGTTTCTGGCATACAAAAGAAAGTGAAACCACATCTTTCCTCCTCACCCATCCCCAGGCTCCTCCGCTGGTGCCCAGTCCCTTCCAAACTGCCCCACCCCATTTTAAAACCCATGCCCCATGCCTCTGTCCTTCTGCTTGTCCAGCACTGGCCTCTCTCTACCTGGTGGTATGGGAGCCTTCTCCTCTGTCTGCCTGCTGCCAGAACTCCTTCCATTTGCCCATCTCGTAGGTAATCTCAGCTGGAAACCTCTTTGCTTTTCTCTCTCTGTCATTGTATTAGGGGTGTAAAGCCCCAGGGATGCTATGCAAAAGGAGGGGGATTGCAGAGCCCACGATCATAGAATCATAAAATATCAGGGTTGGAAGGGACCCCAGAAGGTCATCTAGTCCAACCCCCTGCTCGAAGCAGGACCAATTCCCAGTTAAATCCCAGTAAAATGATGAGCTGCACTGGGCTGTGGCAGTCTCCCAAAGGAAGTGGGAAGAGTCCCATTTAAGTGTCCTCAGCAATGGAACTGGCCAGGACACTAGGGCAGCGTTTCCCAAACTTTTCCGGCCACAGAACACTTTTTAGCTGATTACGGAACACTTATAATATTATTTTGTAGTCGTTTGGTTTTCAAATAAAAATGGCGTTATTTATGCTCCAATATATTTTATTTCATAAAACAAAGCAAAAATACAAATGTAAAATAACTGGAACTAACACTTTCTAACTGGAAAGAGTGTTTAAAGTAGTACAAAAATCAAGTGCAAGAGTCAAAATTAAATTCTAGATTCTTTCACGGAACACCTATTCCCATCGTGCAGAACACCGTTTGGGAAATGCTGCCCTAGGGAACAGGCCACAGGAAACCATCCACAGGAATGGACTGGAGGGGTCCAGTCGGCGGTTTTTATCTCTCATGTCAATGACTCAGAGATCCAATCTGGATCAGGAGCTCTTAGGATTAAGAGCACAGCTACTCCTCAGGGCCAGTGAGGCAGATACCCTGAATTTGGTACGCAGAGCTGGGAGGAAGGCCCTGTGCCTTAGCACATGGGGCAGGGAGTGAGGCCTCCATGCCATAGCGCCGATGCGTAGTGGCTGCGTTCAGAGGTGTGGTACCCAAGAGGGCTCTGTATGGGAGGAGGAAGAGGAGGGAGCTGACTGCTGAGCACTCACCAAACCAGCTATGAGCTAACACAGAAATGCAGCGGACTCCTGATGGGGGAAGCGCTGGCTGCAGCTCCTAGACAGTCCATTCCCATGGGTGGGGGGCACTGCAAGATCATCCCCCTTTGGAACACGTGCTAGGGCTTTGCCAACGCTAGGCAGGCCTTGGGGTGAGCCCCCTTCCTCTGAGCTCTAGCTGACAACTGTCTCCCAGTGGTGGATGCCAGAGGGACGAGTTGTGTGTCCTTAAGCCTCTTCCAAGAAGGAGTCAGCCCTACTGCCAAGCCTGACCCACCAGTGATGAGCTGGCTGTGCCTCAGACCTCTCTCCTCTGCTGCAGGGCGACAGCGGTGGCCCCCTCATGTGCACAAAGGAAAGGTCAAAGCGCTTCTGGGTTATTGGAGTCACCAGCTGGGGGCTGGGCTGCGCCAAGGCACAGAGGCCAGGGGTCTACAGCTCCACTCAGCACTTTCATGACTGGATCTTGGGGAAAGTCAGGCCCAGGCCCAGAACAAGGACAGGCCCCTGCCCGTCAGCCCAGAGCAGTCTGTCTGACTTCTTCAGGAAGCTCAACGAGTTCCTACAGGGCCTGAAGGGAAAGGGGACTTGAGAAGGGAGGGGAGCAGAGCACAGCGGAGGCTGAGATGGACAGTGGCCATTTCTGACGCTTTGCCCACTGCTCTAGAGGACTCTGTACCAGCATCCGGCTCCCATCCTGCCCGTCGTCCTTGTGGATGGAGACTGAGAGCTTACCTCACAGCAGAAGTAAAACGGTGCCCACAACACAGCCAGCTCTGCCTCTGTTCTGTTCAACCTCTTATGCCATGCCCAGAACCACCCAGGAGCAGAGGCTGCACACAACCAGCTGGGCTAGAACGGTGGAGCGAGGAAGGGGAGGGATGGCTCACAGTGGGTTGGGACAGTGTGGTTGGAGAAGGGTGGCACACAGAGCCAGAGAAGCATTGGGGTGGAGTGGTTGGGCTGCTACGGTGAGTGGGGTCAGGGAGGGGTGAGAGGTAGAGCTGGCTGGGTTGAAACAGCAGTGGGAAGGGCTGCTATTTGAACATGGTCCGGGTGCAGGAAGGACCCAGGCTCAACGCTTTGTAAAAAAGTCCTTTAGTGTTGGTTTTCTCAGTCTGGGCTCCGCTAATAGACACCTGGGCAGGACCCTTCCCTGCAGGGCAGGCAGTGCCCAACACCCCAGCAAATGCCCCCCTTCCCTCCCAGAGCGGCAGGCAGCAGTCACATGTATTCTTGTCCCTTCTGCATCCCGGATGCTTAGGAGGATGGGGCCCAGGCCAGGAAGATCGGGCCCAAACAGTCTCCCTCCTAGGGAGGGATGGTCCCAGCCAGAGGCTCCCAGCATGGCCAGTGCATGAGAAATCTGCTCTCCCCAGGCAGAGAGTGATGGTTCTAACTAACCATGAAGAAGCTGGGGCAATAGGGAGCAGTACAAGGTTGGTCTGAGGCCTGGGCTCAGGTGGATGGGGGCTTCTCCGCGGCACAGTTCTCCTCTTTATCTGAGTCCTCCCGCTTTTTCTGCAGCTCAAAGTTCTGGAAGGGAGCAGGATGGGGGAATGGTGAGAAGCAAATGGGAACCAGCCATTTCCCACCCCACCATGGCACTCCCAACACAGCACCTCATCCCCTCACCCCTAATCTGGGACTGTCTGTACAGGACCCCACAATGCTCCCAACACAGGCCCCACTTCACCCCACTCTGAGCTGGGACTGGGGGCTTTTTCCTGGTGAGGGAAGGGGTGTGGTGCTGGCAACTCACTAAGGAGAGGGAGGGGAGCTTCAGGCAGGGCACTCTTACCTCCAGCTCCCGCATGACCTCATCCATAAAATCCCCTGAATTCTGTTTGTACGCGACAGCCAGTTTGATAGCATCACTGAAGAGCTGAGGAGAAAGGAGGGGCACTTGTCACTCTGGGAATGAGAGGGGCGTCTAGGATGCCCAACCCCAGATGAACCCACAGGACTTTTCCCCCCACCCTACAGCACCCTAGAGAAACCAGCCATGAGACAACCCCCCAGCTACAGGACCCCCCACCACACACACACCTGGGAGGCAGCCAGCGAAACATCCTGTCTCCCAAAGAATGCCTGCTCCTTCTCACCTCCCCATGCTGCCTTGCACCAGTCCCATCTCACATAGCCAAGCTTTACCTTCACTACGTTGGTGCCATCTGCAGCTGAGACAAAATAGAAGGGCAGATTGAACTTCCGGGCAAAGTTGAAGCTTTTCTGAGTCACTTTCAAATCCGCTGAAGGAGGAAAGGAGAAGCAGTTATTGAGCCATCACTGCTGGTAGCAGGCCAAGCATGCCCTGGGACAGCATAGAGAAGAAGTCCATGCAACCTTCGTGGGGGCATCTCTCGCTGGCAAGGCCCCCTTCATGCAGAGCATGGTTTGGATGGTGCCTCCTGACAACTAGATGTCTTTCAGACGTTTCTCACTATTGCTAACAGTGGTACACTTGTAGCGTACCGGTGTTGTCACAGAACCATCACCTTTGCCCTCCCTCTGCTGCTCTTCCACTGTTTGTCACGCTCACTTGTTGCTGCTCGTCTCAAAGCAGACTGAAATCTCTTTGGGGCAGGGACAGTCTCACCCTATGTTTGCGCAGCACCTGCAGAAAGGGGCCTGATCTGGATGGGGCCGCTGGGTACTTCCACAATGCAGACTATAAACTGTAACAATGTCAGGGTACCTGGTGAGCTAAGAGGGCTCTGCCAGCTGGCCAGCGTGGTGCAAGCTGCTGTTCAGGGGAGCGGGAGGAGACCGGAAGGAGACTGGGTGATATCAGGCCAGGGCTCAGCTAACCGTGCTATATATTTATGTCTGTGCTGAAAACAAATTTGTGTTTTCCGTTTCTTTTTCTGAGCAAAACAAAGTCAAGAGGCAAAAACATGCTGTAAAAGGCCAGCACTTTATCTAGTAAAATATGATCTGTGGAGTCCATCTCCAAGAAGCCCTTGGGACCAGCCAGGTGGTCACTTCTTTCAGCCATGTCACAAAAGGACCATCCCACAGCACTGAAAGGCTAAGAGGCAGAAACACTCACCATCAATTTTGTTGGCCACCACGATGCAGGGGATCTCTGGGCGGAACTCTCTCAGCTCCTTGTACCAGTTATTCAGGTTCTTGTAGGTGACCTTCCTCTGCACATCAAACACCTGCCAAGGAAGAGCCACCTGTCACCAGGCCTGCAGCTGGACAGTCCCTGAGCAACCCGCTGCACTGAATATTTGCAAAACCCACCATGCAAAATCACTGCCTTTCTTTTTAAACACACAGAATTGCAGAGTTAGTGCCTGAAGGGAAGATGCTGAAGGGAGATTATTTAGATTGGATCAAAATGTTTGATACAGCATCCCATGGAACATGACTGTCAGAATTAAATACAATTGGCTTAGACCAGACACCAGCATAGGGGCTGACAACTGGCAGGAAGGCGGTAAAACAGAGGCTATGGTAAATGGCAAACTATCATCAAGCCATTAAAAAAACCCCAGCCCCTCTCCCTGCACTAAGCTATCATCAGCCTCTTGATCTCTCTGCACATCCTGCCTTGTATAGTGCTGAGGATACTCACCCTTAACAATAATGAGGGTGGGGAGGGCTCTAATGTGCCCTGTAAGGATAGGTGTCAGCCCCAGTCTGATTTACAACTTCATTAATGAGCTAAACAAGGGGGTCAGCAACATGTTAATGAAGTTTACAAATGATGCTAAATTAGGAGGAGCTGAGAATAACAGTGTGGACAGAGGAGAGTAAAGAGATTAAAGCCTGGAAAGGGAACACATCTGGGCAGGAAACTCCAGCAATGGGAAGCAGCAATGGCTGAAAGACAAGGGCAATGAGAGGAGGCAGCAAATGGGACATGAATTTGCAGTGCAATAATCCTGCATAATGACCAATGCAGCTTTGTGCTGCATGCTCCAAGGTATCGAGTCACAAAGCAACAAAGGGTCAGACCTCCCTATATGGCTTTGATGTGACTGCACCAGGAAAAGTGCATTCTGTTCTAGGCATGATATTACTGGAAAGCTGTTGATGAATTGGACAGAGTTGAGAGAACAAAAGAAATACAAAGGGGTTGAGGAACGGAGTTATGAGGAAAGATGAAAGGTGCTAAAGGTAAACAATGACGGGAGAAGGGACAGGAGAACAGTATAGGAAGGACTGTTAACAGCAAGCAAGGAAAGGAAATATTTACAGCACTACATAAGAACATAAGAATGGCCGTACTGGGTCAGACTAAAGGTCCATCTAGCTCAGGGTCCCAAACACGCGGGCCGCGGGCTGCATGCGACCCGCCAAGTTATTTTCTGCGGCCTGCCATAGGCGCCAGCTCCACCAGCAGCCAAGCTTCCCTCACCACCCCCCCACCTCCCCCAACGCGCCGTGTCCCCACTTCTCCGCCTACTTCTCCAGCGCTTCCTGCCACCAAAGAGCTGTTTGGTGGTGCTTAGGACTTTCCAGAAGGGAGGGGGGACGCGGCGTGCTCAGGGGTGGAGCTGGAGAAAAGGCAGGGCCAGGGCGGGGATTTGGGGAAGGGGTTGGAATAGGGGCAGGGAAGGGGTGGAGTTGGGGCGGAAACTTTGGGGAAGGGGTTGGAATGGGTGCGGGGAAGGAGTGGGAAGAGGCGGGGCAGGGGCGGGGCCTCATGGACTAGACATTCAGCATGTATGATTCTTTGCTGTGAGTAGTTGGGAAGAATGTTTGTTAAAAGTGACAACGTATTTTGTATGAATAGTTACTTTAAAAAGTTCCTGCCATTACAGCTACATTGATAGACTGTTACCGTAGATCATCATCAGTGTTACTGACCACATAAGGAATAGTTACAGGTATTTATATTTTATTAAAACCCCTCTTTGCATTACAGTTTTAACAAAGTTAATACATTGACTTTTAATACCATTCTATATTACTCTTCATTTTTTTCATTTTTGACTATACTTTTGAATCGTTGTATGAAAAGGTTTCAGTGATGCGGCCCTCGGGCCAATGTACTAGTCCCCATGTGGCCCTCGTGGTGATTTGAGTTTGAGATCCCTGATCTAGCTCAATATCTTGTCTTCTAACAGTGGCCAGTGCCAGATGTTTCAGAGGGAGTGAAAAGAACAAGGTAATTATCGAGTGAGCCATCCTGTTTTCCAGTTCCAGCATCTGGCGGTCAAGGGCTTAGGGATACCCAGAGCATGGGGTTGCATCTCTGACCATCTTGGCTAATAGCCACTGATGAACCTATCTTCCATGAACGTATCTAACTATTTTTTGAATCCGGTTATACTTTTGGCCTTCACAACATCCTCTGGCAATGGGTTCCTCAGGTTGACTGTGCAGTGTGTGAAGAAGTAAGTCCTTTTGTGTCTTTTAAGCCTGCTGCCTATTAATTTCATCAGGTGACATCTGGTCCATGTGTTATGTGAAGGGATACATAACACTTCCTTATTCACTTTCTCCACACCAGTCATGATTTTATCAACATCTACCATATCATAGAATCATAGAATACCAGGGTTGGAAGGGACCTCAGGAGGTCATCTAGTCCAACCCCCTGCTCAAAGCAGGACCAATCTCCAACTAAATCATCCCAGCCAGGGCTTTGTCAAGCCTGACCTTAAAAACCTCATATCCCCACTTAGTTGTCTCCTTTCCAAACTGAACAGTCCGAGTCTTTTTAATTTCTCCTCATCTGGAAGCTGTTCCATACCCCTAATCATTTTTGTTGCTTTTCTCTCTATCTTTTCCAATTCTAATATATCTTTTTTGAGATGGGGGTGACCTGAACTGCACGCAGTATTCTAGGTACGGGCGCAACATGGACTTACATAGTGGCATTTTTATATTTTCCATCTTATTATCTATCCCCTTCCTAATGATTCTGTTTGCTTTTTTCACTGACGCTGCACACTGAGCAGATATTTTCAGAGAACTATTCACAATGATTCCAAGATCTTCCTTGAGTGGTAACAGTTAATTTAGACTGCATCATTTTGTATGTACAGTTGGGATTATGTTTTCCAGTGTTCCCTACTTTGTGTTTATGAACACTGAATTTCATCTGCCACTTTGTTGCCCAGTCACCCAGTTTTGTGAGATTCCTTTGTAATTTGTGGCAATCCGCCTTGGACATAACTATCTTGAATAATTCTGTATCATCTGTAAACCCTGCCACCTCACCGTTTACTCCTTTTCCCAGATCATTTATGAATATGTTGAACAGCACTGGTCCCAGTACAGATCTCTGGAGAACCCCACTATTTACCTGTCTCCACTGTGAAAACTGGTCATTTATTCCTACCCTTTGTTTCCTGTCTTTTAATCAGTCCCTGATCCATGAGAGGACCTTCTTCTTATCCCCTAACAGCTTAAGAGTCTTTGGTGGGGGATCCTGTCAAAGGCTTTCTGAAAGTCGAAGTACACTGCATCAACTGGATCACCCTTGTCCACAAATTTGTTGATGCCCACAAAGAATTCTAATAAATTGGTGAGGCATGATTTCCCTTTACAAAAGCCGTGTTGACTGTTCTGCAACATATCATCATCTATGTGTCTGATAATTCTGTTCTTTACTGTAGTTGCAACCAATTTGCTTAGTCCTGAAGTTAGGATTACTGGCCTGTAATTGCTAGGATTGCCCCTGGAGCCTTTTTTAAAAATTGGCATCACATTAGCTATCGTCCAGTCATCTGGTACAGAGGCTGATTTAAGCGGTAGGTTGCATTCCACAGTTAGTAGTTCTGGAATTTCTTATTTGAGTTCCTTTAGAAGTCTTGGGTGACTCCCATCTGTTCCTGGGGACTTACTACTACTGTTTATCAATTTGTGCCAAAACCTCCTCTCTCAACACCTCAGTCTGGGACAGTTCCTCAGATTTGTCACCTGAAAAGAATGGCTCAGATGTGGGAATCTCCTTTACATCATCTGCAATGAAGACAGATGCAAAGAATTCATTTAGCTTTTCTGCAATGGCCTTGTCTTCCTTGAGTGCTCCTTTAGCACCTTGATTGTCTAGTGGCCCCACTGATTGTTTGGCAGGCTTCCTGCTTCGGAGGTATTTAAAAGTATTTTTTGCTGTAGTTTAAAGTCTTTTGCTAGTTGGTGCTCAAATTCTTTTTTGGCCTGTGTAATTATACTTTTACACCTGACTTGCCAGAGTTTATGCTCCTTTCTCTTTTCCTCAGTAGGATTTGACTTCTACTTTTCAAAGGATGCCTGTTTGCCTCCAACCGCTTCTTTTACTCTGCTGTTTAGCCAGGGTGGCATTTTTTTGTTCCTCTTACTATTTTTTTATTGGGGGTGTATATTTAATTTGAGCCTCTATTATGGTGTTTTTTAAAAGTTTCCATGCAGCTTGCAGGCATTGCACTCTTGTGACTGTTCCTTTTCATTTTCTTTTAACTAGCTTCCTCATTTTTGTGTAGTTCCCCTTTCTGAAGTTAAATGCTACGGGGTGGGCTTCTTTGGTATTTCGCCCCGCACAAGGATGTTAAATTTAATTACGTTATGGTTGCTATTACTGAGTGGTTTAGCTATATTCACCCATTGGACCAGATCCTGTGTGCCACTAAATCGAGAATTGGCTCTGCCTTTGTGGGTTCCAGGACTAGCTGCTCCAAGAAGCAGCCATGCATAGTGTCTAGAAATGTTATTTCTGCATCCCATCTTGAGGTGACATGTCAATATGGGGACAGTTAGAATCCCCTATTATTATTAACTTTTCAATTTTTATAGCCTCTCTAATGTCCCTTAGCATTTCATAATCACCATCACCACTGTGGTCAGGTGGTCGATAGTATATCCCTACTGCTATACTCTTACTATTCAAGCATGGAATTACTATCCATAGAACTTCTATGGCTGTTTGATTGATTTATGATTTTTATTACATTTGACTCTGTGGTTTCTTTCACATATAGTGCCATTCCCCAACCAGCCTGACCTACTCTGTCATTCCTTTATATTTTGCACTCTGGTATTACCCTGTCCCATTGATTATCATCATTCCATCAAGTTTCTGTGATATCAATATCCTCATTTAATACTAGGCACTCAAGTTCACCCATTTTAGTATTTAGACTTCTTTCCTTTGTATATAGGCACTTATAAAATTTGACAATATTTAATTGTCCGCCTTCATGTGATGTAACCGAGTGGGACTCTCTTTCATTTGACTGTTTCTCTTAAGCTTGTACCTATACTTTATCAACTTCTTTAGTAGGACATAGAGAATCCCCATTAATAGATTCTCCCCTAAGGAATGTCTCTGTCTGCACCATGTTCTCCTCCGCACCTTTCAGCTTTCCCCAGCCCTTTGTTTAAAAATTCCTATATGACCTTTTTAATTTTAAGTGCCAGCAATCTGGTTCCATTTTGAGTTAGGGGGAGCCCATCCTTCCCATATAGGCTCCTCCTTTCCTAAAAGGTTCCGCAGTTCCTAATAAATCTAAACCCTTCATCTCTACATCATTGTCTGATCCATGCATTGAGACCCTGCAGTGCTGCCTGTCTACCTGGTTCTGTGCCTAGAACTGGAAGCATTTCAGACAATGCTACCTTGGAAGTCCTAGACTTTTATCTCCTATCTGGTAGCCTAAATTTGACCTCCAGAACCTTTCTCCTACCTTTCCCTATGTCATTGGTACCCGCATGTACCATGACCACCAGCTCCTCCCTAGCACTGCACATAAGTCTGTCTAGATGTCTCGAAAGATCTGCAGCTTTTGCACCCAGCATGCAATTTACCATGCGGTTCTCCTGGTCATCGCAAACCCAACTATCTATATTTCTAATAATTGAATCCCCCATTACTATTACCAGTCTCTTTCAATAACTGAGGTCCCCTCCCACATAGAGATATCCTCAGTGTGAGAAGATACCATGGCATCATCTGAAAGGAGGGTCCCCACTACAGGATCATTTCCATCTGCTCCAGTTTGATGTTCTCCTTCCCCAAGACTTCCATATTCCTCAGCAGCACAGAGGCTGGGGGTGGGACCACTCTGCTGTGTTCCGGAAAGTCTCCTCTTGTGTACCTCTCTGTCTCACTTAGCTCCTCCAGTTCAGACACTCTGGCCTCAAGAGCCTGTACTCGGGGTAACATTATTAAAGATAATGTGTAGGATGAATACCAAACAGGTTCTGTTACCAGCCAGGAATCCTCTACAAACACAGAGTGAAAGCCACAGGTAGAAGAATGCCCTTACCATGATACAAGCATGCGCCTTGTGGTAATAGGATGCATGCATACTCTGGAACCTCTCCTGTCCGGCTGTGTCCCAGAAGTCTGAAAGGCACAAACCAGCAAGTTCAGCATGCCATGACAGGAAAGAACTTCCAACCCCCTCATAACCCAACCCCAGAGTTCAGCCCTCTCCTGTGTGTCTACTGATACGAGCCTTTGCCATGACAGACTGAGACATTCCCTGACCAGTTTACAAACACAGGCTCTCGCTATACATGGGGTTTAGATGTGCCTGTGCAACACCCCAGCAGAGACAGTTGGCATCAGTTTAAATACAGTAGTGCAAAAAGTTCTGTGTAAACTGGATTTAAAAAAAACACAGAAAAACAAGGCACGGCATGGGTGCAAAAGCTGAAGAAAATAAGGTGAGAAGTACTCAGATAGTACAGGGATGATTGTGGGATCCAAACCTAAACAGATTGGGGTGATCTCAACAATGGCAGTGTGATCTTTTTTAGCAGGGTGGTCCACAGAGCATTCTCCATGCCAGGACCCTGGCTGTCATCCTCCCTGGGCAGCCTAAATGTGGCTCTGTCCAGCTGCAGTGTCCCTGTGGCTGCAGAGGCATGGAGGGTAAGGTGGTCTCTGAAGTAGCCAGGTCCCAAACTACTGAGTGCCTCACAGACTAAGACTCTGCTGTGAAGTGTAAGAGGAAGGGGAAGAAGTGTAGCCTCACCAACTTCCCCCACTGCACAGCTCCAACCCCCTCCTTTCCACTCCATTCTTTCCTGCATTGTACCAACACCCTCTCCCGTCTCTAACCTCTCCATATTGCCTCCAACTGCTCAGACTCCACTGCCCTTCCTCTTCCCATCCTCACACAGTTTGGACACTGCTCCAACTCCTCCAACATCACACCCATTGCTATGGCTACTCACATACCCCCCCACCTTTCCCTCCTTCTTGCCATCCATGCCTCTGTTAAGGCTAGAAGGACCATGGGCAGGTGGTAGGATTGTGCGGAGAGTGTGTACCAGCTGGAGGTAGGGACAGGCAGGAGAATCGACATGTGAAGTTCCTAACCCAGATCTGTCCCTAGTGCACAAAGAAGGGTTCTACGCACCCATTCACAGCATAGGAGGCTCAGCTGAATACGAACACTCCATGAAGAGGAATACAACCAGAAACAATAGATCCGAGAGACATGAACTGCTCCATTCATCTCAGTGGGAGTTCTCATTCTCCTTTCTCGAGCATTTAGCATACCAGCATGGAAAGGGGTTTAGAGGCCCTCAGAGGGGCAGATGCTCATGTGGAGGGGAAGATAAGGGGCTCAGACCCCCCCAGTCAAGCCACACATGGGGGTCAGGGAGAGGGCTATACATGGGGGGCAGGGAGGGACAACCCTGAAAAGAGCTGGGGTGGGGGAAGGCAGTTAAAGGGCTTCAGACTCCTCTCTCAGCATGGAAGGGCCTCCCAGATCCTAGCTCACATGCGAGACAGGAAGAGGGACCCACACCCCCACAAGGATCCCAAGGATCTGTACAGGGACCTGTGCTGTTCAACATATTGATTAATGATTTGGAAAAAAGGATGAACAGTGAGGTGGCAAAGTTCAAAATTATTCAAGATAGATACATTCAAAGCAGACTGTGAGGAGTTACAAAGGGATCTCACAAAACTGGGTGACTGAGCAAGAAAATGGCAGATGAAATTCAAATTGATAAGGACAAAGTAATGTACAGTGAAAAAAAAAACCCAAATATACATATACAAGAATGGGTTCTAAATTAGCTGTTACCACCAAAAAAAGAGATCTTGGAGTCATTGTGAAGAGTTCTCTGAAATCTTCCACTCAATGCACAGCAGTGGTCAAAAAGACTAACTGTATGTTAAAACTATTAGGAATAGGATAGAAAATAAGACAGAAAGAACATTAAAATGGCCACACTGAGTCAGACCAATGGTCCAGCTAGTTCAGTCTTCCATCTTTCTGACAGTGGCCAGTGCCAGATGTTTTAGAGGGAATGAATAGAACAGGGCACTTATCAAGTGATCCATCCCCTGTCATCCAGTCTCAGGTTCTCGCAGTCAGAGATTTAGGGACACCCAGAGCATGGGGCTGCATCCCTGACCATCTTGGCTAACAGCCATTAATGGACGTATTCTCCATGAACTTATCTAACTCTTTTTTGAACCCAGTTATACTTTTGGCCTTCACATCACCACCTGGCAATGAGTTCTATAGGTTGACTGTGTGTGGTATAAAGAAGTACTTACTAATGTTTGTTTTAAACTTTTTGCCTATTAATTTCATTGGGGAACCTTTGTTCTTTTGTTATGTGAAGGGGTAAATACCACTTCCTTATTCACTTTCTCCACACAAATCCTGATTTTATAGACCTCTATCATATCCCCCCTTAGGCCCAATGCCACTATATAAATCCACACCTGTGTCCAGTTCAGGTCACCCCATCTCAAAAAGAAGATAGTGGAACTGGACAAGGGTGAGACAAAGACAACAAAGATGATCAAGTATATGGAACAGCTTCCATAAGAGGGGAGACTACAAAGATTAGGGCTGTTCAGCTTAGAAAAGAGACAACCAAGGGAGGATATGACAGAGGTCTATAAAATCATGAATGGACAAAATGAATAGAGAGAAGTGTTATTTACCCTCTCACACAATACAAAAAATAGGGGCCATCTAATGAAATTTATAGGCAGCAGGTTTAATACAAACAAGAGGAAGTACTTTTTCACACAACTAACCTGTGGCAATCATTGCCATGGGACATTGTGATGACCAAAGTATAATTGGTTCAAAACAGAACTGGGTAAGTTCATGACAGAAAGGTACATCAATGGCTATTAGCCAGGATGGTCGGGAATGCAACCATGTGCTTTGTGCAACCCTAAATCTCTGACTGCCCGAAGCCAGGTGTGGAAGACAGGGGTGGATCACTCCACAATTGCCCTGTTTTGTTCACTCCCCCTGAAGCTCTACTACTGACCACTGTCAGAGACAGGATGCTGGCCAGATGGACCAAGGTCTGACCCACTATGGCAGCTCTTGTGTTCTACAGTTTGAGCCCCATGTGAGTGCAAAAAATAATTAGAACAAGATGTTTTTGTAAAATTATGGGTTTTTAAGAGGTTGATAGCTCAGAAACCCCCTGCTCAAATGACCCCACCTTTGGACTACTAACACCATCTAGCACCCCAATGAAGCACTATACATTTCAAAACCACCCAACTCATCATATGGATTTTAGAGTACTTAAAATGGTCCACCTTTAAACAGGAAGCGATGCTCAACCTTAACTATAGCAGAGTTGGGCTCTGCTATAAATACCAGTACAACTTTTCTAGTGTAGATGCTGTTATACTGGTACATAAGTACTTCACACCACGAAAGGAATAGTGGAATACAGTAGAACCTCAGAGTTATGAACACCTTGGGAATGGAGGTTGTTCATAACTCTGAAATGTTTGTAATTCTGAACATAATGTTATGATTGTTCTTTTAAAAATTTAGAACTGAACATTGACGTAATACAGCTTTGAAACTTTACTACGCAGAAGAAAAATGCTGCTTTTAACCATCTTAATTTAAATGAAACAAGCACAGAAACAGTTTCCTTACCTTGTCAAATCTTTTTTTAACTTTCCCTTTATTTTTTTAAATAGTTTATATTTAACACAGCACTGTACTGTTTTGACCTTTTTTTGTGGGGGGGGGGGTGTCTCTGCTGCTGTCTGATTGGGTACTTCCAGTTCCAAATGAGGTGTGTGGTTTACCGGTCAGTTTATAACTCTGGTGTTCGTAACTCTGAGGTTCTACTGTAATTAAAACGGGTAAGGTCAACTGTCTATTGGTATAATTGCATCCACACTGTGGCTTTTACTAATATAACTATTTTCGTTAAAATAAAATCACAACTTTAACCAAAAGAATTTTAGTAATAAAACTTTCAAGTGCAGACAAGGCCTCAAGTATCAGGAAATGTTGCACCTGAGTCCTGAAACAAAGAAAATAGTGAGCAAAATGGTAATTGGGCCCAGACACCCACAGAGAAGGTGGGGGCTTTCTTAAACCCAGCTTCTCTTAGAGAACAGAGGGAAGAAAAAATACACACAGAAGGATCTGGGCTTTGCTAGGAGAATGTTAGTAGATTCTGTTCTGTTACTGTAACAGAAAAGAAGAGTCTGTCTAATTTAGCTTGTAGTGAAGTGTGAAATTAAATGGATTAAAAACTCGCTGATTGATAGATCTCAGAATGTAAACTATAAACAGGGGATTATTATTGCGCAGTGGACTCCCACAGGGATCGGTTCTTGGCCTTATACTATTTAACATCTTTATCAATGACCTGAAAGAAACAAAATCATCACTGATAAAATTTGCAAATGACACAAAAATTGGGGGAGCGGCAAATAATTAAATAATTAAAAGGACAGGTCACTGATGTGGAGCAATCTAGATTGCTTGGTAAACTGGGTGCAAGCCAACAATATGAGTTTTAATATGGCTAAATGTAAATGTATACATCTGGGAACAAAGACTGTAGGCCATATTCACAGGATGGGGGACTCTAGTGATGGAAGTGATTCTGAAACAGATTTGAGGTTCCTGGTGGATAATGAGCTGAACATGAGCTCCAGGTATAACTCTGTTTCCAAAAGGGCTAATGCGATCCTGGGAGGTATCAACAGGGGAATGTTGAGTAGGAGCAGAGAGGTTATTTTACCTCTGTATTTGGAACTGATATCAGAGAATCACAGAATACCAGGGTGGGAAGGGACCTCAGGAGGTCATCTCAGCCAACCCCCTGCTCAAAAGCAGGACCAATCCCCAATTTTTGGCCTAGATCCCTAAACGGCCCCCTCAAGGATTGAACTCACAACCCTGTGTTTAGCAGGCCAATGCTCAAACCACTGAGCTATCCCTCTCCCAGACCACTGCTAGAGCACTGTGTTTATTTCTGGTGTTTACAATTCACGAAGGATGTTGGTGAATTACAGAATATTCAAAGAAGAGCCATGAGAATGCTTAAAAGATGAGAAAACATGCCTTAAAATGATAGACTCAACTAAAAGGAGGTGAAGAGGTGACTTGACTAGAGTCTATAAGTACCTGCGTAGGGAACAAATACTTAATAGGCTCTTCAACCTAGCAGAGAAAGGTATAACATGATCCAATGGCTGGAAGCTGAAACTAGACAAATTCAGACTGGAAATAAAGCATACATTTTTAATTATAAGAGTAATTAATCACTGGAACAATTTACCACGGGCTATGATGGATTCTTCATCACTGGCAATTTTAAAATCAAGATTGGATGTTTTTCTAAAATATCTGCTCTAGGAATTTTTGGGTGGGCAGGGGGAGTTCTGTGGACTACTATATATAGGAGGCCAGACTAGATGAAAGCAATGGTCCCTTCTGGGGATGATTATTATTATTGATGAGACTATATGTGTAATGTGTGTGTAGGCTCTTTGTTGTTTTAAAATCCCCTTTTCTCTAACACAGTAGATGCTGGTTATTAACAATCCTGATACTGACAATTTTTGGTTATTAGCAACATTTTGCTGGAAGCTGATCCTATCCCATTAAGCATAAAGTTAACTGGACTCAGATATTTGCAACTGTCATGCTGCTTATTGGCAACTTTTCTTCTTTGCCATGGAGCCTCCCCCACGGGTGGGGACCCAGCAGCCACACAGGAGATAACGCAGGAATCCTGGTGCTGCAAAGTGGGAGGAGAGGCTGGGAGGGTAGGCTGCAGACAGGGCAGCAGCATGGAGATGGGCTGCAGCCTGAATGCCAGGGCTTTCCACAGGGGGAAGGGATGTTGGGGGCCCATGGGGCTGCACAGTACTTCTTCCTGCACTGTCTAGGCTGTGCCCTGTCTTGGCACTGGGGGCCTGGGCTCAGCACACTCCAGCGCCCTCATTCTCCATGGACAGACCCAGTCATAGGCAGGTTTTTGGGGCTGCAGCCAGGTATGGAAGCACTGGGATATGACAAGCCCAGGGAGAGGGAGAATGCAGGAAGAGGTACAGTGCAGCCCCATGAGCCCCCAGCATCCCTGCGGAAAGCCCCAGCATCTAGGCTGCTGCCACACTCTCCCCTGCCCACAGACTACCCCCACAGCCTCCTCTCCCATGGTGCTGCAGGCTGGAATGGGGAGCTACAGGCAGGGCAGCAGCTGGGATGCGGGTTGTGGTCCAGATGCTTTCCAGGGGGAGCAGGAATGCTAGGGGCCTGCATGATGCCTCTCCTGGTGCTCTCAGGGTTGCATCCTGCCCTGGCGCTGGGGGCCCAGGCTCAGCATGTCCCAGCACTTCATTCCTGGCTGCAGCCCTGTAAACCTGCCTTTTGGTTATTGGCAACTTCTGGATAATAGCAACTTCTTGCTGGGAGATGAGAGGCTGCTGGTAAGTGGTATACGCTGTACTTCATTCCAACTGCTAAATCAAAACAATTGGTTTTAAGAAAGCTGTTGGTCAATATTGCTTTTCACAGGGTCCTGAAGGTAGGAAGCACACAGGTTCCTGAGTCTGGCCAGCAAGATGATAAGCGTTTGGTGTTCATGGGTCAGTGTACCAGGATACCATCTAAGAACAGAAGAATCATGAGATTCCACCCCATGACAGGTACAGGCAAGAGACCAAACACTTTGGAGTCAGAGAGATCAGAAAGAGGACTGAAGTGCCACTAGCTTCACTGCTATGACATGGACCAAAAGAGGACAGAACACTGAGTCGTTTGTAACCTTATTCTAAGATTCTCACACAGTTCTTGCCCCACTGGAGAAGCACATTAGTAACGTTTCCCATTTCTGATGACACCACCACCATCCTGTTGCCCAGCCTTACTGACCTCTCCCTCTCCTCTCTCATCCAAATCTCACTGCTTTTTCCTGCACAGTATATTGAAAATCCAGCTCTTCTTTTTGGTCCCAAAAGCTAAAACACCTGTCGAGGCTTCAATCACCTCCCATCCTGATTACAGCAGGCTTATCCTCGGTGGCTTCCATGATTCCTTCATCATGCCCCTCCAGTCCATCCAAAATACAGCCCATAACGTTAACTTCCTTGCCTGTCAAGCTGACCTCATCATCCCTTTTGGTCCCTCTGCTGGCTCCCTCTTTGCAACTGCATTAAATTTAAATTCCTCGGCCTTTCCTCCAATGTCCAGCGTCACTGCACATCTGCCTACATCACAGTACTTTTCCCTTAACATGTCCCTCGTACCCCTTCCACTCCACCAATGGTACCAGCCTCAATGATCTTTTCATTCCTTCTCCCACTTCTGTCTCTGGGCCTTCTTCATGCTGCCTCAGGTGCAAAATGATTTCCCAATCTGTGTTCACCAAGTTCTCATTCAAATTCCTCTTAGACTCATTTCTTCTGCAGTACTTCAAAACTGGGAGTTCATAGCAATAACAAAGGTCATTCTCTCGTCTCAATTTCCCAGTGTGATCTCTCTTCCTAATGCTGCCTTTGAGATTGTAAGCTCCTCAAGGCAGGTACTGTCTTTGTGTCCTATATAGCCCCAAGGACACTGTCAGGATGAAAACTACAGCTAAAAACAGCACAAGTGTTTCTACAAAAATGGTCAACAGTGACACTGATACCATGAACACTGCCATTGCCCTTATTTGGGTTCAGTTTACACCCAGTTGAGATGAACAGGAATTCCTGGACTCAACAGAGGTCCTTTAGTGATGCCATAGCAGGGATTTCCCATGGCTGTACCCAGCACTCACAGGGAGGATACGTGCTTGTCTCCTAGGAGGTGCTTACCCACAAGGATATTCTTCCCATCCACATTGGTTGTGTATTTGTAGAGTGTCAAGGCAAACGTAGAGAGCTGCTGGGGTCGGCTGTGCATAGGTTAAGGAGCTGAAAAGTGAGTCTTATCCAGACACCAATCTCATGTTCAGTAGAGCACCTGTGAGGGGAACTTGCTTGAGGGGGGCTAGGGCAAGCAGTCAGCAGCTGGGTCACCAAGCTGCTCCTCTGCAGTGTGTAGCATAGCTAAGCCAGTCATTCAAATTTGCCTCAGAGTTTCAATCCCAAACTAAGGGTTAGTCTACACAGGAATCGATACAGTGGCGCAGCTGTACCGAGCACTGTGGTGCTGCTGGTGTAGACGCTCTGTGTGGATGGGAGAGAGCACTCCCATTGGCACGATTACTACATCTCCCCGCGTGGTGGTAGCTATGCTGGCGAGAGAGCGTCTCCCACCGACATAGCACTGTCCACACTAGCGCTTAGGTCAGTGTAACTTACATCGCTCGGGGCAGGGGAGGCTTTTCCACACCCCTGAGTGACTTAAGTTATCTTGAAGTAAGTGCTAGTGTGTACAAGCCCTAAGGTGGGGAGTAGGAGCTCTATAGTTGAAGTGCCCATGACAGTCCTATAGGCCGCACAGGACCAGCTGCTAACACTGCAGTGCTCAGGAAAGGAATTCTAAAGAAGATACTGTAGTTGATAGTGGGGGAGGACCTTCTGAGGAGGAACAGAAGTTATAAGTTCCCAAGTGCTGTGTGGATTTAGCTAGCTTATCAGTGTACTATAAAGAGAGTCTAGGTCAGGCAGGGAAAGCTAGGAAACAGAACTCTGCTGAGGATGGGATGAGAGCCCCTGATGGGAAGAGCATGGTTAAACAAAAAGGCCTCAAACAGACCATTTCCCCTTCATGTACCCTCCTGGGCCCTAGACCAAAAATAAACAGTGGTGAGGTCTGAAAGAACCCAAAGGATACAATCCATCCAGGAGGAACCTTTCCATTAACCTGCAAGTAGAGAAATGACACAGGCCCATTAGTCCTTACCTGATCACCTTATTATCTTCTTTCTCCTCATCCCTGATACAGATAGGCCCCCCACTCCTATACATTCAGCCTCTCCGTTGGTCTCAGACACAGCTAATAAACCACTGTGAGGTAACAATAACTGGAGCTGCTGCTTTGTGCAGCGGAGAGGCAGAGACGAGACACTGGTTGAGGAGTGCCAAGCTTGTATGCTGCTGGAGCCTTCTTGGCACGTGCAATAAGGGCCAGTTACTCACTTGGATTTCCCCACAGCGCTGTCCCCCAGGCAGATAATCTTCACGTTCTCATCTGCATCATACTTCGTCTGGTCCAGCTCCTTGCAGGAATCTCCCCCTGGTGCATCTCTAGCCATGCTGCCTCCACCCTAGCTGCACAGAAGCCACCTCTCCTGGGATCAAGGGGAAGATTTTACTTTTCTGAGCCCCTCAGAAAGAGCTAGGGGGGTAAGCTCATAGCGTTACAGTCTCCTTCCTAGCCATCAAAAAGCAGTTACGATCAACAGAACAGCTGTGCTGGATCAGACCCCAGCCCTGTGGTGGATACACCTACCCCGAATGCAATGGAAAGGCACCACTCCATCCAGAGCCTCCTGACACCGCCCACAGCTCCTGGCTACCCCACCTATCATCCCCCGCATCGATCACCCCGGCCCGCACCGGGGACAGCTCCTGGCTACCCCACCTATCATCCCCCGCATCGACCACCCCACCACGCACCGGGGACAGCTCCTGGCTACCCCACCTATCATCCCCCGCATCGACCACCCCACCACGCACCGGGGACAGCTCCTCGCTCTCCCACCTATCATCCCCCGCATCGACCACCCCACCACGCACCGGGGACAGCTCCTGGCTACCCCACCTATCATCCCCCGCATCGACCACCCCACCACGCACCGGGGACAGCTCCTGGCTCTCCCACCTATCATCCCCCGCATCGACCACCCCACCACGCACCGGGGACAGCTCTGGCTACCCCACCTATCATCCCCCGCATCGACCACCCCACCACGCACCGGGGACAGCTCCTGGCTCTCCCACCTATCATCCCCCGCATCGACCACCCCACCACGCACCGGGGACAGCTCCTGGCTACCCCACCTATCATCCCCCGCATCGACCACCCCACCACGCACCGGGGACAGCTCCTGGCTACCCCACCTATCATCCCCCGCATCGATCAGCCCACCACGCACCGGGACAGCCCTCGCCCCACCTACCATCCCCCGCATCGACCACCCCACCACGCAGGGGACAGCTCCTGGCTCTCCCACCTATCATCCCCGCATCGATCACCACCAGCACGGGACAGCCTCGCTCTCCCACCTACCATCCCCGCATCGACCACCCACCACGCAGGGACAGCTCCTGGCTACCCCACCTATCATCCCCCGCATCGATCAGCCACCACGACCGGGGACAGCTCCTGGCTACCCCACCTATCATCCCCCGCATCGACCACCCCACCACGCACCGGGACAGCTCCTGGCTACCCCACCTATCATCCCCCGCATCGACCACCCCACCACGCACCGGGGACAGCTCCTGGCTACCCCACCTATCATCCCCCGCATCGACCACCCCACCACGCACCGGGGACAGCTCCTGGCTACCCCACCTATCATCCCCCGCATCGATCACCCCACCACGCACCGGGGACAGCTCCTGGCTACCCCACCTATCATCCCCCGCATCGATCACCCCACCACGCACCGGGGACAGCTCCTGGCTCTCCCACCTATCATCCCCCGCATCGATCACCCCACCACGCACCGGGGACAGCTCCTGGCTACCCCACCTATCATCCCCCGCATCGACCACCCCACCACGCACCGGGGACAGCTCCTGGCTACCCCACCTATCATCCCCCGCATCGACCACCCCACCACGCACCGGGGACAGCTCCTGGCTACCCCACCTATCATCCCCCGCATCGATCAGCCCACCACGCACCGGGACAGCTCCTCGCTCTCCCACCTATCATCCCCCGCATCGACCACCCCACCACGCACCGGGGACAGCTCCTGGCTACACGACCTATCATCCCCCGCATCGACCACCCCACCACGCACCGGGGACAGCTCCTGGCTACCCCACCTATCATCCCCCGCATCGACCACCCCACCACGCACCGGGGACAGCTCCTGGCTACCCCACCTATCATCCCCCGCATCGACCACCCCACCACGCACCGGGGACAGCTCCTGGCTACCCCACCTATCATCCCCCGCATCGACCACCCCACCACGCACCGGGGACAGCTCCTGGCTACCCCACCTATCATCCCCCGCATCGACCACCCCACCACGCACCGGGGACAGCTCCTGGCTACCCCACCTATCATCCCCCGCATCGACCACCCCACCACGCACCGGGGACAGCTCCTGGCTACCCCACCTATCATCCCCCGCATCGACCACCCCACCACGCACCGGGGACAGCTCCTGGCTACCCCACCTATCATCCCCCGCATCGATCACCCCACCACGCACCGGGGACAGCTCCTGGCTACCCCACCTATCATCCCCCGCATCGACCACCCCACCACGCACCGGGGACAGCTCCTGGCTACCCCACCTATCATCCCCCGCATCGATCACCCCACCACGCACCGGGGACAGCTCCTGGCTACCCCACCTATCATCCCCCGCATCGACCACCCCACCACGCACCGGGGACAGCTCCTGGCTACCCCACCTATCATCCCCCGCATCGACCACCCCACCACGCACCGGGGACAGCTCCTGGCTACCCCACCTATCATCCCCCGCATCGATCACCCCACCACGCACCGGGGACAGCTCCTCGCTCTCCCACCTATCATCCCCCGCATCGATCAGCCCACCACGCACCGGGGACAGCTCCTGGCTACCCCACCTATCATCCCCCGCATCGACCACCCCACCACGCACCGGGGACAGCTCCTGGCTACCCCACCTATCATCCCCCGCATCGACCACCCCACCACGCACCGGGGACAGCTCCTGGCTACCCCACCTATCATCCCCCGCATCGACCACCCCACCACGCACCGGGGACAGCTCCTGGCTACCCCACCTATCATCCCCCGCATCGACCACCCCACCACGCACCGGGGACAGCTCCTGGCTACCCCACCTATCATCCCCCGCATCGATCAGCCCACCACGCACCGGGGACAGCTCCTGGCTACCCCACCTATCATCCCCCGCATCGATCACCCCACCACGCACCGGGGACAGCTCCTGGCTACCCCACCTATCATCCCCCGCATCGACCACCCCACCACGCACCGGGGACAGCTCCTGGCTACCCCACCTATCATCCCCCGCATCGACCACCCCACCACGCACCGGGGACAGCTCCTGGCTACCCCACCTATCATCCCCCCGCATCGATCAGCCCACCACGCACCGGGGACAGCTCCTGGCTACCCCACCTATCATCCCCCGCATCGATCACCCCACCACGCACCGGGGACAGCTCCTGGCTACCCCACCTATCATCCCCCCCCGACCCCCCCCGCCGGGGACAGCTCCCCAACCGACCGCCCCCCCGCCGACCGCCCCCTCTCGGCAGAGCCCCGGCCCGACACTCACCAGCCGGCCCCGCCGCGTCCCCGCTGCTACGCGACGCGGCGCGCGAGGCCCCGGGCTGCGCACGCGCCGCAGGGACCCCGGGCCGAGGCCGCCTCCGAGCGGCCCCTCCCCTCCCCGGCCCGCCCGCGCGCCCCCGCCCCCGCGCCGGCCCCGAGCCCGCCTCCGAGCGGCCCCTCCCCTCCCCGGCCCGCCCGCGCGCCCCCGCCCCCGCCCCCGAGCCCGCCTCCGAGCGGCCCCTCCCCTCCCCGGCCCGCCCGCGCCCCCCCCCCCGCCCCCGAGCCCGCCTCCGAGCGGCCCCTCCCCTCCCCGGCCCGCCCGCGCGCCCCCGCCCCCGCCCCCGAGCCCGCCTCCGAGCGGCCCCTCCCCTCCCCGGCCCGCCCGCGCGCCGCCGCCGGGAGCGCCATGGGGGCCGTGCCGCGCTCCGCGCGCCCGCTGCAGCTCACGCTGGCGCTGCTGAAGCCCGACGCCGTGGCCCACCCGCCGGTGCTGGAGGTGAGGGGCGGAGCGGCCGCCGGGCCCCCCCGCAGCGGCCCGGTCCACGCCCCGGGAGGCCTCCGTGGGTGATTCCCCCCCCGGCCTGTCCCATCCCCCCCACGGGACCTCAGTGGGTGATTCCCCCCCCCGCGCCCTCCCCCCACGCCCCCCCCCCCCCCACGACTCAGTGGGTCCCCCCCCCCCGGTCTGTCCCATCCCCCCCACGGGACCTCAGTGGGTGATTCCTCCCCCCCGGCCTGTCCCATCCCCCCCACGGGACCTCAGTGGGTGATTCCCCCCCCGGCCTGTCCCATCCCCCCCCCCCGGCCTTCCCCCCCCGGGCCTCAGTGGGTGCCCCCGCCCACCCCCCCACGGGACCTCAGTGGGTGTCCCCCCGGCCTGTCCCATCCCCCCCACGGGACCTCAGTGGGTGGTTCCCCCCCCCCGGCCTGTCCCATCCCCCCCACGGGACCTCAGTGGGTGGTTCCCCCCCCCCCCCCCCCCCCCCCCCCATCCCCCAGGACCTCAGTTCCCCCCCCGGCCTGTCCCATCCCCCCGCGGGGTGTCCGTGGGTGATTCCCCCCCGGCCTGTCCCATCCCCCCCGCGGGGTGTCCGTGGGTGATTCCCCCCCGGCCTGTCCCATCCCCCCCGGACCTCGTGGGTGGTTCCCCCCCCGGCCTGTCCCATCCCCCCCGCGGGGTGTCCGTGGGTGATTCCCCCCCCCGGCCTGTCCCATCCCCCGCGGGGTGTCCGGGCCCCCCGCCGCCCCCCCGCCCCCCCCCCCCCCCCCGACCTCGTGGGCCCCCTTCCTCCCCCACCCTCAGGGGTGTTCCCCCCCTCCCATCCCCCACACCCAGGCCCCCCCCCCTCCCCCTTACCCAGCCCCCCCCTTCCCATCCCCCCACGGACTCAGTGGGTGGTCCCCCCCCCGGCCTTCCCATCCCCCACGACCTCAGGGGGTCCCCCCCCCACCCCCCCCGCTGTCCCATCCCCCGGGGGTGTGGGTGATTCCCCCGGCCTGTCCCATCCCCCCCGCGGGGTGTCCGTGGGTGATTCCCCCCCGGCCTGTCCCATCCCCCCGCGGGGTGTCCGTGGGTGATTCCCCCCCCCGGCCTGTCCCATCCCCCCGGGGGTGTGCCTGTCCCCATCCCCCCCCCGCGGGGTGTCCGTGGGTGATTCCCCCCCCCCGGCCTGTCCCATGTCCCACCCCCCCCCCCCGCGGGACGTCCGTGGGTGATACCCCGCCCTACCCCAGAATTCAGGTCGGTGGAGTATGAGGCCTTGTGAATTATTCTAGTTGCACTGTACCCATTTCCAGGAGCTAGCCTGTACCTGCCCCCTGTGCTCAGCCCTGCAGTCTCTCTTTCTCTGACCACACCTTTCTCCCAGTAGTCAGGATCCCCCTGGTTCCTTGGCTGAAGTCTTTGCTCTGCAACATCTGATGTGTTTGTGCCTCACCCTTGCCCTGCCTTTCCAGGCCGTGCACGAGACCATCCTGAACAACAAATTCCTCATCGTGCGGACCAAGGAGCTGATGTGGAGAAGGGAAGATAGCCAGCGATTTTACCAGGAGCACTCAGGTAGTGATCACAGGGAGCCTGCTGCTGGCTCTAACTGGGCCCTTCAGGGCATGAACCCTGGGACGGGAGGTTGTCTTTGCTCATGCAGGAAGTGTGGAAATGGGAACTGGGGAGCACAGGGAAGGGTACAGCTTAGCCTCTCTCAGGAGGGACATCGCAGAAGGATGGGGTTGAGAGATAGGCAAAGACCAGGAGAGAGTTGGAAAGACTCTTGTGTGGAGAGAGATTCGAAGACAGGGATTGTGTAGTTCAATGAAGAGAAGAATGAAAGGGGGCATGACAGAGGAATACAGAACTGATTTCTCTTGGAAAGTGGTCTGATACTATGGGGATAGATGCCAGTATAAACCCTAGGATAGATAGGAGGTAAATCAGGAAGTCCTGTTCACTCTCTCTGAATGCAACAGGTCATTCAAAGAAAGTGGAAGGCACTACATGCAAGACTTATCATAGGAAATATTTATTATGCAACACACAATCTGTGGAGCTCACTGCCATGAGGCATTACTGAGGCCAAGAGTTCAGTAGGAGTCAAAACACAATTAGACACTTACATGCATAGTGCTCTGCTACAGACTTCCTGCATGACCTTGGACTAGTCACTTAGTATGTCAGTTCCCGTTTCCAGACACGGAGGTAATAGCACTTCCCTACATACCTCATGTTGTGAAGATAAATACAGTACGTTAAAAATTGCCAAGTGCTCTGCTCCTGGAGTAATAGGGACCAGATATGTACCCTATTGGGATGGATGGGATGCAAACAAACGGCTTCTACTATATCTGCTAGGATAAGATAAACCCTCCTGCTGCAGGGAGGATCTAGCCATTGACAGATAGGGCTGCGGAGACTCTGCCAAGAGCAGGTTATCCCAGAATTGTCGACTGGGGGGTTCTGCCCCTGCTGTCGAAGCAGGTGGTATCAGTCCCAGTCAGAGACAGGATGCTTTGCTAGATGTGGCCTGGACTGGCAATGCCTCTGTTCCTATTGTAAGAGCAGCACAGGAAAGGGCAGGGGGGTGAGGGGAGGGTGGTAGGGCAAGGCCAAGCAAGGGTATCAGTATGATGCGGGAACTGGACATCTATGCCCCCTTAGAGTGAAATGCTGTCTCTCATATTGCAGGGCGATTTTTTTATCGGAGGCTGGTGGAGTTCATGACCAGGTACCTCCCCTCCCCTATCAGTCCTAGCTTAACAGTGAATCCCAGCCATGGGGGTTGGGAGCTGTTCTGGCTGTCAGGAGTGAGTGGGGGTGACACCTACTCTCACACACATGCCATTGCCCCCTCATGCTGGTGCTTCTTCTAGCAACACTGCTGCCCTTTGGGTAACCCCCCCCCCACGCCTTGATAAGGGGAGAATGGGGGTGGGACAAGGCACTGGGCAAGGTCATTCTGGGATTCATGACACTTGTGTCCCAGAGAGGCAGCTTTCATGGGACAAGGAAGGATGCTCAGGCCTCAAGGCTAGAACGTTGTGATTCCAGTCTGGCAACAGCTGATCCTCGGTGCTGTCCTGCCAGTGTAGCCCTTGAGGGAGTGCGTTCTATATTGTTAGAAATGCCATTCTTTCTAGGCTACCTGATGCCACATCACTGCCCTGGAATCAGGGTGTTTTGACAGCCTGGGATAACCCTGAGGTCCTGGCTACCATGAGTCTGCTCTGTGTCCTAGAGGAGTGCTGCATGGCAGCCACCTTCGCCTGCCACTCTGACACTGCTGTGTCTGTGAGGATAGAAAGCACATGAGATGCCCACATCCTGGAGTAATCTTGTCTTCTCTTGTCCCCACCTGGCTGTGTTTCCCCAGTGGCCCAATGCGGGCTTATATCCTAGCACATGAAGATGCTGTTGCACGCTGGAGGTCTCTCATGGGACCCACAAAAGTGTACCGAGCCCGAAATACAGCTCCAGACTCCATCCGGGGAGCCTATGGCCTCACGGACACGAGGAACACCATACATGGCTCAGGTAAGAACACCAGGGCAATCATTGGGGTGGAGGAAGGGCCAGAGGGGGGCACTGTCTCGGTGCTCTCGTTGCCTCTGCTGGTGCCCAAACCACATGTCCTTGCATCCCTGCAGGTTCCTCCAATCCAAGTAGATAGGCTCCATTCACCCCAGTTCCATGACTCAGGGATGCAGTGGTAAAACGTAGGCCCATGAGCGTAGGCTGTCCCTTCCACCCCTCTGAGTAGAGCTCAGGGTACGATCAAGACAATGTGCCACCACCACCTCAGGGCGCGCTCTCTCTCTCTCCCCCTCTCCTCTAACAGACTCGGCGGCATCAGCCCGTAGAGAAATTGCCTTCTTCTTCCCGGAGTTCAGCGAGAGTCTCTGGTACCAGCAGGATGAGCCACGTCTGCGCTGCGGCCTGGCACGCTATGACACGGGGGAGCGTGTTCACAGCCTACCCAAGGCGAGCAGGACAGAGTCATCCTAGAGCAGAGGAGACTTACCCTTGACTAACCTCCTTGGAGATGCGGAGGGCCTTGCCTTGCACGCAGGAAGTGCTGGTAGTAGCACCAGCTAGACCAGTGGTCCCCAACCTTTCCTGTGGGAATAGCATATTGGTATTCCCAGAAGACTGTGGCAGGTGCCGGACACCCCACCACCGAGAAGCGGCAGCGGCAAGAAGCGTCGCCGCCGAAATGCTGCCGAGAAACGGCAACGGTTCTCGGTGGCATTTTGGCAGGCGGTTCTCCGGCAGCCACACGCGGTGGCGGCATTTTGGCAGCATGGTGGCCGGTGGGAGCCATGGTGCCCACGGGTACCGCGTTGGGGACCCCTGAGCTAGACTATCCCTGTAACGAGGACAGGGAGCTATGTAATGTCTGTTACAGTGGGCAAATACCAGATGCAATACACATTACACCACGCTCTGGGGGAATGTCTCACCTACCTCTGGCTGCACATGTAGCACCTAGATAGTGTGGATGCTACAGACAAACCTTAGATACCAGCAGGAATCCACTGAACTCCAGCATGGCAGAGGAACTCCAGCCTGCAATTCACCAGCACTGAGTGTGCTCACATATAAACTAGGAGCAGTGGGTACAAGGGGCTGCCCCCACAGGGCACAGATCTTGGTGATGGGTGTGGAATATCTCTGTGAGGTGCAAAACCATCCCACTGCCTTGCCCACATGCACTCTGGCTGTTCATTACCAGTGACCATCTTCATTGCTTATCTAGTGCTTTCCTCTGTAAAGCATTTCTCCAACACAGCCATGGTGTGCTGCAGTAATAAAGTTTTCTTTGGTGCAGGCATTTTCACTGACAGAGCGGATTAGCGGGCATGTCCGAGCCAGATCTCAGCGATACCTCTGTGTCACATGGAGGAGACAACTTCACCTCTCGGGTGCTGGTTTCAGCCTGGGCCCAGGTTGTGGGGATGCAAGGAATCAGGGTAGGAGCCTGTGGTTGGGCTCACTAACCTTCGGAGCACCCCCTAGCATCAGTGTCACTATCTTTGGCTCCAGCAGCTCTTACTGCCCACCTGCCTATGGCACCAGCTCTTCTGTGTTTCAGCCCTCCACCCAAGTCACCTAAGTTCAGACCTCTTCTGGGGTATCATGAACAAGTCCAAACAAAACTGAATAGTTCTGCACTCTTGGGCTACTGAAATCTTCTCTTCTCTACTTACAAACCCTATCTCAGGGCTTCCCTTGTAGGAGCCTAATCTTTCCCTGTAGCCCACTACCCCCATTCTGTCTGTGTACCCTTCCCCTGGGCTTCTCTCAGAAAGGTCTGTCTCCTCTGCTGTTTCTCCTGCAATTGAGCTCCCTCAGTCTACTTTATTATGGCTTAGCTCTGCGCCCTCTGACCAGGAGCCAGTTCGCTATCCACCTCCCTGGGTGCAAAGCATGACTAATTGGGTGTATTCACTAGCCTTGCATATGATGGGGGTTAAGCCCCATCACAGAGCCTTTATCTAGTGGATGCCGGTTCTGATCCAGCCCCATGTCAGGAGACTGGCTGGATTGGAAAACCTACCTTATAAGAAGAGACTCAAGGCTCTTGGCTTGTTTAGCCTAACCAAACAAAGGCTGAGGGGAGATAGGATTGCTCTCTATAAATACATCAGAGGGATAAATACCAGGGTGGGAGAGGAGTTATTTAAGTTAAGCACCAATGTAGACCCAAGAACAAATGGATATAAACTGGCCATCAACAAGTTTAGGCTTGAAATTAGGTGAAGGTTTCTAACCATCAGAGGAGTGAAGTTCTGGAACAGCCTTCCAAGGGGAGCAGTGGGGGCAAAAAACCTAACTGGTTTCAAGACTGAGCTTGATAAGTTTATGGAGGGGATGGTATCATGAGACTGTCTACAATGGCTACATGGTTGGTAGATTCTCTCCTTCCAAGGGTTATTGGTCCAAGCAAGCGGTCAGAATTGGGACTTGGGCAGTGTTTCCGAGTGGTCAGAGCAGGGGTGGTCAGGCCTAGTGGACAGAGCCAGAATAAGGAAGCAGGAACCAAGCCAGGGGTCAGAGCCAGAAGCAAAGTTTAGGGATGATGAAAGAGTCAGGTCCAGTGCAGCAGCCAGTCGGGAAGTGCTTCAGTGATTCAAACAACTTCATGTCTCCCCTTCTGACTTAAATAGTATGTTCCAGACGGTCACTGGGGCTGGTCATCACCCCAGTCAGGTACTCGTCGGCGATGCCTCTGGGAGCCCCGCACTTCCAGTAGTTCAGGATGAGATACCCAGCGATAGCCCAGGTGTGAGGGCTGCGTGGGAACCTGTGGGCCAAGATTTGAGACCCACAGCCATTTACAACAGGATTCTTTAAGTGCAGACCACCAGGTTGGGTAAACACCAGCACTTCAGGTTCAAGGAAGAATAGAGCTGGGCACAAAGAAATTGGTGAGAGAGGAGGCCTGATGAGAGGCAAGAGGTCACAGCTGCTTTCTGCTCAGTAGGAGGTAGATGAGAATGGGCAGACTGGAAACTACGGACGAAACCTCTTGAGATCCAGCAGGTCCAAGGGAACAGATGTATGGGATACACATGGATGGCAGCTCAGTCCAACCTCTAAGAAAATCAAGCTTACTTACTATCCATCCAAGGAAGACAGAGGATCCTTGTTGGAGATTCAGTAGTCAGAAGACTTGAAAGAACATTTTGCGAGGAACAGGCAGATAACAGGATAGCATGCAGCCATCCTGGAGCTAAGACATGAGATGTCGCTCTAAGATTGGACAGGCTTCTGAAGTTGATGGGCAAGGATCCACTGGTGATAGTTCATATCAGTGCACAAATGCTACTGCATCGCAGGATATCTTGTGCATAGTAGATGACTTCAGGGAACTTGGAAACATGCTGAAGAAGAAGAATGTCCCTAGCCTCTGTTTGCCAGAAGCTGGGAATGGGTGACAGGGGATGGATCACTTGATGATTACCTGTTCTGGGGTGTCTGGCGTTGGCCAGTGTTGGAAGACAGGATACAGGGCTAGATGGACCTTTGGTCTGACTCACGATGGCTGTTCTTATGTTCTTATTTAATATTTTTATCAATGACCTGGAAGAAAACATAAAATTGTCACCGATAAAGTTTGCAGATAATACAGTAATTGGGGGAGTGATAAATAATAAAGAGGTCAGGTCACTGGTTCAGAGCAATCTGGATTGCTTGGTAAACTGGGCACAAACAAATAAAATTGCATTTTAAGAGGGCTGAATGTAAACATATACATCTAGGAACAAAAAATGCAGGCCATACTTACAGGACAGGGGATTCTATCCTGGAAAGGAGTGGCTAAAAAAGATTTGGAGGTTGTGGATGAGCTCCCAGTGTTACGCTGTGGCCAAAAGAGGTAATACAATCCTGGGATTGATAAACATGGAATCTTGAGTAGGAATAGAGTGGCGTTTTTGCCTTTTTATTTGGCATTAGTGCGACCACTGCTGGAATACTGGAGTCCACAGTTCAAGGATGTTGATGAATTGGAGAGGATTCAGGGAAGAACCACAAGAATGATTAAAGGATTAGTAAACAAGTCTTACAGTAATAAACCCAAGGAACTCAATCTATTTAGCTTAAAGAGAAGGTTAAGGGGTAACTTGATTACAGTCTGTAAGTACCTTCATAGAGAACAAATATTTAATAATGGGCTCTTTGATCTAGCAGACAAAGGTATATCAAGATCCAAAGGCTGGAAGTTGACTCTAGACAGATTCAGACTGGAAATAAGGCATACATTTTTAACAGTGAGAGTAATTAACTGTGGGAACAATTTACCAAGGGTTGTGGTGAATTCTCGGTCCCTGACAGTTTTTAAACCAAGACTGGATGTTTTTCTAAGAGATCTGCTCTAGGAATTATTTTGGGGAAGTCTGGCCTGTGTGATACAGGAGGTCAGAGTAGGTGATCATAATAGCCCCTTCAGGCCCTATAATTGATTATATCTAAAACAGGAAGCCTGTGAAAGAATTTGTGGGTCCCCTAGATCACCAAGGAGTAAAAGAGAGCAATTAAGAAAGATAAGGACATTGGTGAGGAGCTAAATGATCTGTACCAGTCAGCCCTCACTACAGAGGCTGTTGGGGAGGTACTACCCCAGACCTGCTCTTTCCTGATAATATTAGTTCCTAGCAGTGACCAGAAGAAATGATGCTGGAGCAAATTGTTAGTTTATGAAGCAACAAGTGTCATAAATATAAAGGGAAGGGTAACCACCTTTCTGTCCACAGTGCGATAAAATCCCTCCTGGCCAGAGGCAAAACCCTTTCACCTGTAAAGGGTTAAGAAGCTAAGGTAACCTCGCTGGCACCTGACCCAAAATGACCAATGAGGGGACAAGATACTTTCAAATCTGGAGGGGAGGGAACAAAGGGTTTGTCTGCCTGTGTGATGCTTTTGTGGGAACAGATCAGGAATGCAGCCTTACAACTCCTGTTACGTTAGTAAGTAATCTAGCTAGATTTCCTTTTGTTTAGTGGCTGGTAAAATAAGCTGTACTGGATGGAATGTATATTCCTGTTTTTGTGTCTTTTTGTAACTTAAGGTTTTGCCTAGAGGGATTCTCTATGTTTTGAATCTGATTACCCTGTAAGGTATTTACCATCCTGATTTTACAGAAGTGATTCTTTTACCTTTTCTTTAAATAAAATTATTATTTTAAGAACCTGATTGATTTTTCATTGTTCTTAAGATCCAAGGGTTTGGGTCTGTGTTCACCTGTACAAATTGGTGAGGATTCTTATCAAGCCTTCCCCAGGAAAGGGGGTGTAGGGCTTGGGGGAAGACATCTCCAAGTGGTCTCTTTCCCTGTTCTTTGTTTAAAACGCTTGGTGGTGGCAGTATAGGGTTCAAGGACAAGGAAAAGTTTGTACCTTGGGGAAGTTTTTAACCTAAGCTGGTAAAAACAAGGTTAGGGGGTCTTTCATGCAGGTCCCCACATCTGTACCCTAGAGTTCAGAGTGGGGAAGGAACCTTGACAACAAGTTACCAGGCCCACAAAGTTATTTAGGTTAGCTAGAGTCAGAGAGGACTGAAATATTCAGAGACTTGACCAAGCCAGAGGGATGGGCAACATGATGGCAAATAAAGTTTAATGTCAATAAATGCAAAAACAATGCACACTGGAGGAAAAAGTAAACTACTCACGTACGTTACAGGGTCTGAATCAACTCAGGAAGGGGACCTGGTGTCAGTGGAGACTGTTTGGTGGCAAATTCTGCTCAGTGCACAGCTCTGGTCAATAAAGCAAACAAGATGTTAGGGTGCATAAGGCACGGAATGGAGGATCATATGGAAAATATTCTGATGCCATTATATAGATCAATGGTGCAGCTTTCTCTGGACACTGGGTGCGGCAGAGGTCTCCCCATCTCAAAAAGGATATGGCAGAAGTAAAGGGGGTTCAGAGAAGAGCACAGCATGGGGAGGAGGTGACCAGCCCTCTGGAGAAAGAAGTGGTTCGGGACTATTTAGAAAAGCTGGATGAGCACAAGTCCATGGGGCCGGATGCGCTGCATCCGAGTGTGCTAAAGGAGTTGGCGGATGTGACTGCAGAGCCATTAGCCATTAGCTTTGAAAACTCCTGGCGAACGGGGGAGGTCCTGGATGACTGGAAAAAGGCTAATGTGGTGCCCATCTTTAAAAAAGGGAAGGAGGAGGATCCGGGGAACTCCAGACCAGTCAGCCTCACCTCGGTCCCTGGAAATATCATGGAACAGGTCCTCAAGGAATCAATTCTGAAGCACTTAGAGGAGAGGAAAGTGATCAGGAACAGTCAGCATGGATTCACCAAGGTCAAGTCATGCCTGACTAATCTAATTGTCTTCAATGACGAGATAACTGGCTCTGTGGATGAGGGGAAAGCAGTGGACGTGTTATTCCTTCACTTTAGCAAAGCTTTTGATATGGTCTCCCACAGTATTCTTGCCAGCAAGTTTAAAGGAGTATGGGCTGGATGAATGGACTATAAAGGTGGATAGAAAGCTGGCTAGATTGTCGGGCTCAACAGGTAGTGATCCATGGCTCCATGTCTAGTTGGCAGCCGGTATCAAGTGGAGTGCCCCAAGGGTCGGTCCTGGGGCTGGTTTTGTTCAATATCTTCATTAATGATTTGGAGAATGGCGTGGATTGCACCCTCAGGAAGTTTGGAGTTAACACTAAACTTGGAGGAGTGGTAGATACACTGGAGGGTAGGGAAAGGATACAGAGGGACCTAGACAAATTGGAGGATTGGGCCAAAAGAAATCTGATGAGGTTCAACAAGGACAAGTGCAGAGTCCTGCACTTAGGACGGAAGAATCCCATGCACTGCTACAGACTAGGGACCGAATGGCTAGGCAGCAGATCTGCAGAAGAGGACCTAGAGGTTACAGTGGATGAGAAGCTGGATATGAGTCAACAGTGAGCCCTTGTTGCCAAGAAGGCTAATGGCATTTTGGGCTGTATAAGTAGGGGCATTGCCAGAAGATAGAGGGACGTGATCGTTCCCCTCTATTCGACATTGGTGAGGCCTCATCTGGAGTCCTGTGTCCAGTTTTGGGCCCCACACTACAAGAAGGATGTGGAAAAATTGGAAAGCATCCAGCAGAGGGCAACAAAAATGTTTAGAGGACAGGAACACATGACTTATGAGGAGAGGCTGAGGGAAGTGGGATTGTTTAGTCTGCAGGAGAGAAGAATGAGGGGGGATTTGATAGCTGCGTTCAACTACCTGAAAGTGGGTTCCAAAGAGGATGGATCTAGACTGTTCTCAGTGGTAGCAGATGACAGAACAAGGAGTGATGGTTTCAAGTTGCAGTGGGGAAGGTTTAGGTTGGATATTAGGAAAAACTTTTTCACTGGGAGGGTGGTGAAGCACTGGCATGTATTACCTAGGGAGGTGGTGGAATCTCCTTCCTTTGAGGTTTTTAAGGTCAGGCTTGACAAAGCCCTGGCTGGGCTGATTTAGAATCATAGAATCATAGAATATCAGGGTTGGAAGGGACCCCTGAAGGTCATCTAGTCCAACCCCCTGCTCGAAGCAGGACCAATTCCCAGTTAAATCATCCCAGCCAGGGCTTTGTCAAGCCTGACCTTAAAAACCTCTAAGGAAGGAGATTCTACCACCTCCCTAGGTAACGCATTCCAGTGTTTCACCATCCTCTTAGTGAAAAAGTTTTTCCTAATATCCAATCTAAACCTCCCCTACTGCGACTTGAGACCATTACTCCTCGTTCTGTCATCTGCTACCATTGAGAACAGTCTAGAGCCATCCTCTTTGGAACCCCTTTTAGGACCCTCCCCCCCCCCTTCTGCCCCATTGTCCCCCAACCCCGGGCCAACCCCCCCCCCTGCCCCCCCCAAGCCACTTGGCAACCGCCTCCGTCCACGTCCCTATCTTCCGCAGCCCCGTCCCTAGTCGCTGTGCGGTTCTTCCCCTACAGGCCCTGCCTTCCTTTGAACCCTCATTTCTTTGCCCAATCCCCAATTTGTCTAGGTCCTCTGTACCTATCCCTCCCCTCCAGCGTTCTACCACTCCCCCAGTTGTTCTCCCAAATTGCTAATGTAATCCACACCCCCCAGATCATTTATGAAGATTGAACAAACCCCAGGACCGCCCGCCAATGCGCTTGTCCCCCTGACCGACAATCAGCCAGCTCTACCCACCTTATATCATTCATCCAGCCCTCTCCTTAACGCGACAAGTTGACAAGCTGACATTTAGTTGGGGATCGTCCGTTTGAGCAGGTTGGACTAGATGCCCTGAGCCTTCCAACCCTGATATTCTATGATTCTAAGAGCAACAAGAATGATCAGGGGGCCTGGAAAAACCTATGAATAGAGATTGGAAAACTGGGATTGTTACCTGGGAGAGCAATGAAATGAGAGGGGACACAAGCTGGAGCTTTCCAGAGCCCAGAAGCAATTCTCTCAGTTTCTGACATTCGTTCCGTGCACAGCTGGATTAATTTGGGTTCCTGTGCAGGTCACACCACGTCTGCCTCCGTCCCACTAGGAGGAGGCTCACAGGAACACAAACCTCTTGCACTTGGAGCGCTTACGTCAGCGCAACTGTACCAATGCGGTTGCATGGCGAAGTTCTCTCACATAGCCGCTGTAAGCCGAGGGGAGAGCGCTCTCCCGTTGATGTGGTTAATGAACCCCTCGGAAGCGGTGGTAGCCAAGTTGGCGGAAGAAGCTCTCTTAGCAACATAGGGCTGTCCACACCGGCGCTTCTGTCGGTGAAACTTGTGTTGCTTGGTGGTTTATTCACACCCCTGAGTGATGTACGTTAGAGTGACACAAGTGGTAGTATAGACATGGCCTGAGAATCCCCTCTACAACTCCAGCTCCCTTCAGAGCCCCATGCCCAGGCCTGCATGGAAGTTGAGTGATGTGGGATCTCACACATGCCCTGGCTTGTGGTTCGCTGTCTGGCCCTCGCTGGGGTCTTACACACACGCCCTGGGCCAGCGCTAACTGCACACCCTGAGGTCACTCTCACATACCCATACACTGTGGGTCAGGTCTCCCTGCCCTGAGGTCTTGGGCTCGCTGATCCACAGGGTCAGCACTCACTGCACAACCTGCTGGGGTGTCTGACCTGCGTCCTTGCCCCTTTGCAACCCTGTTGTAGGTAGCGTGATGGCCCTGGAGACCAGCACCGGGGAGGGAGCATTCAGCCTGCTGGGGCTCTAATTGCAGCTGGTGATGCAGCAGCTCCCGTTCATGGTGCTATGTACATCGGAAGCTGTCTGGAAATGGGATGATCATGGGGGGATCCTCGGAGACTGGCACCTACATTTGCCCACATACTTCTTCCTCATCACCATCCCATGATGCCCAGCTTGTGGCCAACCTACTGTGGGCAGGAGCCCCCAGTTCCTCCTGCCAGCACGCAGCCCAGCTGTACCTCTCCCTGTCCTTGGGCTTGGCTCATTGCTGCTGGTGACGGTCAAGAGCCTGTGTTGCCATCTGCCACCCCCTGTGCTAGGTCTTCATCTTGAGCCGCCTGTCTGCCTGCAGCCGGCACCTGGTTGTGCAACTTCCTCTTTGTGATTTTGCGCATAGTACTCACCCTGCTGCTGCCTGCCAGCAGCCTTTCAGAGATCCCACACTTCCTGTGTGAGATGCCAGCTGTGATAAGGATAACATACGGCAGTCTGTTCCATTGCCCTACTCTTCTCACAGTTAGGAAGTTTTTCCAGAGAATTAATCTCAATCTGCTATGCTGTCGTGTGAACCTATTGCCTCTTGTCCTGCCCTATGTGGCAAGAGAGAGCCATTTTTCTCCATCTTTTTATGGCAACATTTCAAGTATTTGAAGACCCACTACCATGTCCCCCTCAACCTCCTCTTTTCCAAACTGAACATACGCAGTTCCTTCATAGAATCATAGAATATCAGGGTTGGAAGGGACCTCAGGAGGTCATCTAGTCCAACCCCCTGCAGGACCAATCCCCAATTAAATCATCCCAGCCAGGGCTTTGTCAAGCCTGACCTTAAAAACTTCTAAGGAAGGAGATTCTACCACCTCCCTAGGTAATGCATTCCAGTGTTTCACCACCCTCCTAGTGAAAAAGTTTTTCCTAATTTCCAACCTAAATCTCCCCCACTGCAACCTGAGACCATTACTCCTTGTCCTGTCCTCTTCTACCACTGAGAATAGTCTAGAACCATCCTCTCTGGAA